AGGTTTTTCCCGGAATTTTACTGCTTTTTTTTTTTAATTTTAATTGTATTTTTTTAAGGATTTTTCCAGGTTTTCCTGGTTTTTTTTTTTTAAGATTTTTCCGGGATTTTCCCGGTTTTTTTAGGATTTTCCCAGGATTTTCCCGGCTTTATTTCCCTTTATTCCCTATTTTTATTTTTATTTTTTTCCCGGCATTTTCCCATTTCCCCTCTGTTTTTGAGGCTTTACCCGGATTTTCCCCGGATTTTTGCAGTTTTTCCCTTTTTTTAAAATATTGTTTTTCCATTTTTTAGGTTTTCCCAGGATTTTCAACCTTTCTTCCCCGGGTTTTTCCTGGATTTTTTTTTTTTTTCCCTCCCCGGATTTTTTTAGGATTTTCCCGGATTTTTTAAGGATTTTTCCTGTGTTTTTTTAGTATTTTCCCGGATTTTTTTTTAGGATTTTTCCCGATTTTTTTTTTTTTTAATGATTTTCCCGGATTTTTTTTAGTATTTTCCCGGATTTTTTTTAGTATTTTCCCCGGGTTTTTTTAGGATTTTTCCTGGATTTTTTTTAGGATTTCCTCGGATTTTTTTTTATGATTTTCCCGGATTTTTTTTTTAGGATTTTTCCCGGATTTATTTTAGGATTTCCCCGGATTTTTTTAGAATTTTCCCCGGATTTTTTTCAGGACTTTTCCCGGATTTCTTTTATGATTTTCCCGGATTTTTTTAGTATTTTTCCGGGATTTTTTTTTTAGGATTTTTCCGGGATTTTTTTTTTAGGATTTTTCCCGGATTTTTTTTTTTTAGTATTTCCCGGATTTTTTATGATTTCCCCGGATTTCTTTTTATGATTTTCCCGGATATTTTTTTAGGATTCTCCCGAGATTTTTTCCCGGAATTTTTTTCTTTTTTTTTTAATTCTATTTTATTTTGGGGTATCTTTCCCGGATTTTTCCCCGTATTTTTTTCGGACTTTTTAGGATTTTTAAAGACTTTTCCCCGGGGGGTGTAAAAAAAAATAAGAAAAAAAAAAATCGCATTTTTGACAGGAAAACCCCAAAATTTGGCGGGAAAACCCCCAAATTTTTGGCGGGAAAATCCCGATTTTTGGCGGGAATTCTCTTACCTGCTTGGCGGGAGAAGCCGCCGCGGCGCGGGAAAAGGGGCGGGGGGAGGGGGAAGGGGGCGGGGCCAAGGAAAGGGGCGGGGCCAGAGAAAGGGGGCGGGGCCACGGTAAAGGGGGCGGGGTCAGGGGAAGGGGGCGGGGCCGAAAACCCGGAAATGGAATCCGGAAAACCCGGAAATGGAATCCGGAGCGGGAAGGGGGAAAAAAACCCGGAATTTTGGGGGGAAACGGGAATTTTGGGGGATTTTGGGGGAAAAAAGGGAATTTTTGTGGGAAATTGAATTTTTGGGGGGAATTTTAGGGGGGAGAAATTTTGGGAATTTTTGGGAAAGAAAAGGGAAATTTTTGGGGGGATTTTTGGGGAATAAAAGGGATTTTTTGAGGAAAAAATTGGAATTTTGGGGGGGAAACGGGAATTTTGGGGGGTTTTTGGGGGAAAAAGGGAATTTTTGTGGGAAATTGGATTTTTTGGGGGAATTTTAGAGGGGAAATTTTGGGAATTTTTTGGAAAGAAAAGGGAATTTTTGGGGGGATTTTTGGGGAATGAAAGGGAAGTTTTGGGGAAAAAATTGGAATTTTGGGGGGATTTTAGGGGATTTTTGGGGGGGAATTTTGGGAATTTTTAGGAAAGAAAAGGGAAATTTTGGGGAAAAAATGGGAATTTTGTGAGGATTTTTGGGGAAGAAAAGGGAATTTTGGGGGGGGAAAAATGGATTTTTGGGGGATTTTTGGGGAAGAAAAGGGAATTTTGGGGGGAAAAAATTGGAATTTTTGGGGGAAAAAATTGGAATTTTTGGGGGGATTTTTAGGGAAGAAAATGGAATTTTTTGGAGGAAAAATTGGAATTTTGGGGGGATTTTTAGGAAATAAAAGGGAATTTTTGGGGAAAAAAATTGGAATTTTGGGGAAGAAAAGGGAATTTTTGGGGGGAAAATGGGAATTTTGGGGGGATTTTTGGGGAAGAAAAGGGAATTTTTTTTTGGAAAATGGGAAATTTTGGGAATTTTGGGAAAAAAAGGGGAAACTTTTTGGGGGGAATGGGAATTTTGGTGGACAAAATGGGAATTTTGGGGGTATTTTTTTGGGACATAAATCCGAATTTTTCGGGAAAATGGGAATTTTTGGGGGAGGGTTTAAGAAAAAAAAAGGAATTTTGGGGGATTTTTGGGAATTCTTTGGGGAGAAATTGGAAGTTTTAGGGACTTCGGGGGGAAAAGGAAATTTTTTGGGGGAAAAAGGGAATTTTTTATTGGGTTTTTAAGAGAAAAATGGGATTTGATTTTATTTTTAGGGCAAGAAAAGGGAATTTTTGGGTAAAAAAATCGGAATTTTTTGTGGGGATTATTTGGGGGAAAAAGGATTTGTTCAGAAAAATGGGATTTATGTGGGGTTTTTGGGGGAAAAAGTGGAAAATTTGGGGGATTTTTGGGGAAAATTGGAATTTCTTGGGGATTCTTTTGGGGGAAAATGGGAATTTTTGGGGGGGAAATGGGAATTTTTTTGGGGAAAATGTGAATTTTTGGTTAAAATGGGATTTTTGTGGAAAAAAAGGGAATTTTGGGTGATTTTTGAGGAAAAAAAGGGAATTTTGAGAGATTTTTGGAGAAAAAAAGGGAATTTTGGGGGGATTTTTGGGGAAAAATTGAGATTTTTTTGGGGGGGGAAAGGGGGAATTTTGGGGTTTTTTTGAAAGAAAAATGGGATTTTTGGGGGAAAATGGGAATTTTTGGGAGATTTTTGAAAAAAAAAATTGATTTATTTGGGATACTTGGGGGAAAACGGGAATTTTTGGGGAAAATTGGATTTATTTGGGATTTTTGGGGGAAAGGGAGAATTTTGGGGGGAAAATGGGAATTTTGGGGTTTTTTTTTAAGAGAAAAATTAAAATTTCTGGGGAAGAAAAGCGAATTTTGGGGGGATTTTTTGGGGATTTTTTTTATTTTGGGTTTTTTTGGGTTTTTTGGTGGGTTTGGGATTTTAGGGATTTTTGAGATTTTTTGGGATTTGGGGGATTTTTTGGGATTTTTGGGGGTTTTTGGGAATTTGGGGGATTTTTGAGGGTTTTTTTTGGGATTTGGATTTTTGGGATTTTTGGGATTTGGGGTTTGAGGCTTGGAACGGGTCGGGGCGAAATCTCACAGGGACCCCAAAAACCCCATTTTAATCCCAAAAATCTGAATTTAGCCCCCAAAAATTCCACAAGGACCCAAAAAATCCATTTTTGACCCCAAAAAATCCGAATTTTGACCCCAAAAAATTTTTTGAAATGCCCCAAAAATTCTAATTCTGATTCAAAAAATACATATTTTGACCCCAAAAATTCCAACAGGACCCCAAAAAACCAAAATTTGGACGCCAGAAAAAAATCCCAATTTTGACCCAAAAAAAAATCGAATTTTGACCCCCAAAAATAAAATTTTAACTCCAAAAAGCCCAATTTGGACTCAAAAAAAACCCTCCAAATTTGACCCCAAAAAATCCCAATTTTGGACCCCCCATAAAAATCTAATTTTGACCTCAAAAATCCCAAATTTTACCCCAAAAATTCAAGTTTGGACCCCAAAAATCCCAATTTTTACCCCAAAAATCCCATTTGGTACCCCAAAAAAATCACAATTTTGACCCCCCAAAAAAATCCAAATTTTCTACCCAAAATCCCTCAGGGATTCCAAGACATCAAATTTTGGACCCCAAAATCCCACAAGGAGCCCAAAAATCCCAATTTTGAACCCAGAAATCCCAATTTGAACCCCAAAAATCCCAATTTGGACCCCAAAAAACCCAATTTGACCCAAAAATTCAATTAAGGACCCCAAAAATCCCAATTTGGACCCCTAAAAAATCCAATTTGACCCAAAAATCCAAATTTGGACCCCAAAAATCCCAATTTGGGACCCCAAAAATTCCATTGTTACCAATGTTTACCCCTAAAAAATCCAATTTGACCCAAAAATTCAATTCAGGACCCCAAAAATCCCAATTTAGGACCCCAAAAAAATCAATTTGACCCAAAAATCCAATTTGACCCAAAAATCCCAATTTGCACCCCAAAAATTCCATATTTGACCCCCCAAAAAATCCCAATGTTTACCCCCTAAAAATCTAATTTGACCCAAAAATTCAAATTGGGACCCCAAAAATCCCAATTTTTACCCCCAAAATCCCGTTTGGGACCCCAAAAAAATCACTATTTTGACCACAAGAAACCCCATATTTGCATCCCAAAAATCCCTCGGGGATTCCAAGACATCAAATTTTGGACCCCAAAATCCCACAAGGAGCCCAAAAATCCCAATTTTGAACCCAGAAATCCCAATGTTTACCCCAAAAAATCCAATTTGACCCAAAAATCCCAATTTGGACCACAAAAATCCCAATTTGGACGCCAAAAACCCCAATTTGGAGACCCCAAAAATCCCAATTGGGACCCCAAAAATCCCAATTCGGACCCAAAAACCCCATTTTGTGACCCCAAAAATCCCAATTTGGGACCCCAAAAATCCCAATTGGACCCCCCAAAAAAATCCCAATGTTTACCCCTAAAAAATCCAATTTGACCCAAAAATTCAAATTGGGACCCCAAAAATCCCAAATTTGACCCCAAAAACCCCATTTCAGACACCCTGAGGGGGCGTGGCCTCGCTCGGGGGCGTGGCCTCGTCTGCCATTGCCGTCTATGGGGTGGGCGTGGCTTCGGACCGCGCTATAATTTATGCGAGGGGCGTGGCTTCGTCTACCATTGCAGTCTATGGGGTGGGCGTGGCTTCGGACCGCACTATAATTTATGCGAGAGGGCGTGGCTTAGTCTACAATTGTTGTCTATGGGGGTGGGCGTGGCTTCGGCGCCACTATAGTCTATGGGAGGGGGCGTGGCCTCGCGGAGGGGGCGTGGCCTAAACTGTGCCAAAGGTCGAGGTCGCGGGTTCGAGTCCCGCTCCGGCCATGGCGCCGCGGGCCGTGATCTTCGGCCTCAGCGGGGTCCTGCTCCGGCCGGGCCTGCAGCACTTCCTCAGCGCCTGCGAGCGAGACTGGAACCTGCCCAGGTAGGCCCGGCCCGGTTCGGGCCGGTTCGGGCCGGTTTTGGGTCGGTTTGGGTCGGTTTGGGCCGGTTTTGGGTCGGTTTGGTAAAGCCGCGCTCGGCCCGCCCGATGCGCCCGCCCGCGGCTCTGTGAGAGGCGGCGCCGGACGAGAACCAAAGAATCGATGGGACAATTCTGCGGTTGACGGCGACGCCCGCGCGGAATTTTATTTGGGGAGGTTTGGGGATTTTTGGGGTTTTGGGGTTTTGGGATTTTGGGGGTTTTTTGGGGACTTTTGGGGTTTGGGGTTTTGGGTTTTTAGGGTTTTGGGGTTTTGGGGGTTTGGGGGGTTTGGGGTTTGGTATTTGTGGGATTTGGGGTTTTTGGGGTTTTGGGGATATTTGGAATATTTGAGATTTGGAGGTTTTGGGATTTTTGGGATTTCAGTTTTTTGGGTCATTTGGCAGTTTGGGGATTTTTGGAATTTTTAGGCTTTGGTGTTTTTGGGATTTGGGATTTTGGAGATTTGAGGGTTTGGGGGTTTTTGGGATTTATGGGATTTAGGGGTTTGGGGATTTTTGAGCTTTGGGATTTGGGGTTTTGGGGGGTTTTGGGTTTTTTGGGATTTGAGGTTTTTTGGGATTTGTGGGATTTGGGGTTTTTGTGATTTGAGTTTTTTAGGGTTTTGGGGTTTTTGGGATTTGGGGTTTTGGGGATTTGGGGTTTTTGTGCTTTGAGATTTTTGGGTTTTTGGGGGTTTCGGGATTTGTGGGATTTGGGGTTTGGGGTTTTTGGGATTTTGGGGTTTTTGGGATTTGGGATTTGGGGGTTTTGGAGTTGGGATTTGGGGGTTTTGGGATTTTGGGGTTTCGGGTTGGGATTTTGGGATTTAGGGTTTTTTGGATTTGTGGGATTTGGGGGTTTTGGTATTTTTGGGGTTTGGAATTTTTGGGATTTGTGGGATTTAGGGCTTTTGGGCTTTGGGATTTTTGGGATTTTTGATTTTGGGGATTTGGGGGTTTTTGGGTTCTTTGGGATTTTGGGGATTTGATTTTTTGGGGATTTTTTGGATTGTTGGGATTTGAGGTTTTGGGTTCTTTGGGATTTTTGGGATTTTTGGGGATTTTTGGGATTTGGGGTTTTGGGTTCTTTGGGATTTTTGGGATTGGATTTTTTTTTATTTTTGGGATTTGGGGTTTTTGGGTTCTTTGGGATTTCTGGGATTTGATTTTTTGGGTATTTTTGGGGATTTGGAGTTTTGGGGTTCTTTGGGATTTTGGGGATTTGATTTTTTGGGGTTTTGGGGATTTGGGATTTTTGGGATTTTGGGGATTTGATTTTTTGGGGTTCTTTGGGATTTTGGGATTTGATTTTTTTGGGGGATTTTTGATTTTTGGGATTTGGGGGTTTTGGGTTCTTTGGGATTTTTGGGATTTGATTTTTTGGGATTTTTTTTTTGTTTTGGGATTTGGGGATTTTTGGGATTTGATTTTTTGGGATTTTTGGGCTTTGGGATTTTTGGGTTCTTTGGGATTTCTGGGATTTGATTTTTTGGGATTTTTTGGATTTGGGGTTTTTGGGTTCTTTGTGATTTTTGGGATTTGATTTTTTGGGTTTTTTCTCCCCCCAGGGGTTTCCTGGAGGCCGCTCTGGACTCGGGGGGATCCCAGAGCCCCAAATCCCGAGCGCTGCGGGGGCAGATCAGCCTCAGCCAGGTGGGATCCGCTCCGGCCCTCGGGATCCGCTCCGGGGTTTGGGGCCCACCCTGGGGCTTCGGGATCCACCCCGGGGGTTGGGATCCTCTCCGGGATTCGGGATCCACTCAGGGGTTTGGGATCCACTTTGGGATTCGGGATCCACTCCAGGATTCAGGATCAACTTCAGGATATACTTCAGGATTCAGGATCCACTTGGGGATTTGGGATCCAGTCCGGGATTCGAGATCCACACCAGGATTTGTGATCTGCTCTGGGGTTTGGGATCCACCCTGGGATTTGAGATCCAGTCTGGGGTTCGGGATCCGCTCCGGCCCTCAGGATCCGCTCTGGGATTGGGGTCCACCCTGGGGCTCTGGGATCCGCGCTGGGCTTTGGGATCCACTTCGGGATCCACCTCGGTATTTGGGATCCACTCCGGGATTTGGGATCCGCTCCGGGATTTGGGATCCACTCCAGGAGTCGAGATCCACACCAGGATTTGTGATCTGCTCTGGGGTTTGGGATCCATTCTGGGGTTTGGGATCCACTCCGGGTTTCAAGATCCACTCTGGGGTCTGGGATCTGCTCCGGGGTTTGGTATCCGCTCCAGGGTTTGGGATCCACACCAGGATTTGAGATCCACTCTGGGATTTGGGATCGACCCTGGGGCTTTGGGATCCAATCTGGGGTTTGAGATCCACTCCGGGCTTTGGGATCTGCTCCGGTGTTCGGGATCCACTCCGGCATTCGGGATCCAGTCCAGGGTTTGGTATCCGCTCTGGGGTTTGGGATCTGCTCTGGGGGTTGGGATCCGCTCTGGGGTTTGGGATCCACTCCTGGATTTGGGATCCACTCCTGGATTTGGGATCTGCTCTGGGGTTTGAGATCCAGTCTGGGATCCAAGATCCACCCCAGGGTTTGGGATCCGCTCCGGGCTTTTGGGATCCACCCCCGGGATTTGGGAATCCACCCCAGGATTCGGGATCCATCCTGGGATTCGGCAATCCACCCCGGGTTTTGAGACCCATCCCAGGAGTTGGGATCCACCCCAGAATCCTTTCCTGGGATCCATCCCGGGATTTGGGACCTGCTCCAGGAATTGGGATCCATCCCTGGGATTTGGAATCCACTCCGGGATTTGGGATCCATCCCAGAATTTGGGATTGACCCTGGAATTCCCAGGATTCAGGATCCAGGCCAGGATTTGGGATCCACTCCAGGATTTGGGATCGACCCTGAGGCTTTGGGATCCACTCCAGGATTTGGGTTCTGGGCCAGGATTTGGGATCCACCCCGGGATTTGGGATCAACTTTTCCAAGTGGGAATTTTCCCCAAATTTGGGGATTTTATTAAATTGGGAATTTTCCCAAATTTTGAGACTTTTCCAAGTGGAAATTTCCCGGAATTTTGGGGCTTTTCCACTTGGGCATTTCCCATTTTTTTGAGTCTTTTCCAATCGGGATTTCTTCCCAAATTTTGAGTCTTTTGCAACTGGGATTTTCTGGAATTTTGGGGGGTTTCCAACTGGGAAGGTTGGGAATTCCCGGGAATGTTGGGATTTTTCCAATTGGGATTTTTCCCAAATTTTGGGTCTTTTCCAACCGTGATTTTCTGGAATTTTGGGGCTTTTCCGACCAGAATTTCCTGGAATTTCGGATCTTTCCCAATCCAGAATTTCCAGAATTTTGGGTCTTTTCCAACCGGGATTTCCTGGAATTTTGGGACTTTTCCAACCTGGAATTTTTCCCAAATTTTGGGTCTTTTCCAACCGGGATTTTCTGGAATTTTGGGCTGTTTCCAAGCCGGAATCTCCCAATGTTTGGGACTTTTCCAAGTGGGAATGTCCTGGAATTTCGGATCTTTCCCAATCCAGAATTTCCAGAATTTTGGGTCTTTTCCAACCGGGATTTCCTGAAATTTTGGGTCTTTTCCAACCAGAATTTCCCGGAATTTTGGATCTTTCCCAATCCCGAGTTTCCCAGAATTTTGGGGCTTTTCCACTTGGGCGTTTCCCATTTTTTGGGGTCTTTTCTGACTGGGATTTTCCTGGAATTTTGAGTCTTTTCCAACCGGGAATTTTCTGGAATTTTGGGTCTTTTCCAACCGGGAATTTTCTGGAATTTTGAATCTTTTCCAACCGGGATTTCCTGGAATTTTGGGTCTATTCAAACCGGGAATTTTCTGGAATTTTGAGTCTTTTCCAACTGTGATTTTCTGGAATTTTGAGTCTATTCAAACCGGGAATTTCCTGGAATTTTGAGTCTTTTCCAACCAGAATTTCCAGGAATTTTGGATCTTTCCCAATCCCGAGTTTCCCGGAATTTTGGGGCTTTTCCACTTGGGCATTTCCCAAATTTTGGGTCTTTTCCAACCGGGATTTTCTGGAATTTTGGGCTCTTTCCAAGCTGGAATCTCCCAAAGTTTGGGACTTTTCCAAGTGGGAATGTCCTGGAATTTTGGGACTTTCCCAAATGAGATTTCTTTGGAATTTTGGATCTTTCCCAATCCAGAATTTCCAGAATTTTGAGTCTATTCAAACCAGGAATTTTCTGGAATTTCGAGTCTTTTCCAACCAGAATTTCCTGGAATTTTGGATCTTTCCCAATCCCGAGTTTCCCGGAATTTTGGGGCTTTTCCACTTGGGCATTTCCCAAATTTTGGGACTTTTCCAATCGGAATTTTTCCCATATTTTGGGTCTATTCAAACCAGGAATTGTCTGGAATTTTGGTGCTTTTCTGACCAGAATTTCCCAAATTTTGAGTCTTTTCCAATCCGGAGTTTCCCGGAATTTTGGGGCTTTTCTGACCGGGATTTCCTGGAATTTTGGGTCTATTCAAACCGGGAATTTTCTGGAATTTTGAGTATTTTCCAACCGGGATTTCCTGGAATTTTTGGGTCTATTCAAACCGGGAATTTTCTGGAATTTTGAGTCTTTCCCAATCCCGAATTTCCCGGAATTTTGGATCTTTCCCAATCCCGAGTTTCCCGGAATTTTGGGTCTTTTCCAATCTGGAGTTTACTGGAATTTTGGGTCTTTTCCAACCGGGAATTTTTCTGGAATTTTGGGGCTTTTCCAACCAGAATTTCCTGGAATGTTGAGTCTTTTCCAACTGGGATTTCCTGGAATTTTGGGGCTTTTCCGCCCGGAAAGACTCGGAATTCCCGGAAAGACTCGGAATTCCCAGTTACACCGGGAATAATCCCGTTTTCCCGGTCGCAGCTGCAGGAGGAGCTGGAGCGGCGCTGCCGGGCGGCTCCGGGCGCCGCCGTTCCCGTTCCCGTTCCCGTTCCCGTTCCCGTTCCCGAGGGATTTTCGGCCTCGCGGCCGTTCCGGGAGCTCCGGAGCCGCTCCCGGCTGGAGGCGCCGCTGCTCAGGGCGGCACAAACGCTCCGGGAACACGGTCAGCGGGAATTCCGGGAATGTGGGAATGACGGGAGGGGTGGGGATGGTGGGAATGTTCAGTTTGGAATGTTTGGTTGGGAATGTTGGGAATGTAGGAAAAGGCGGGAATTTTGGGTTGGGAATGTCCAGATGGAGGGAGTGAAATGGTGGGTTCGGAATGTTGGGAATGTTGGGTTGGGAATGTTGGGAATGTTGGGTTGGGAATGTTGGGAATGGTGGGAATGTCGGGTTTGGAATGTTGGGAATGGAGCAGTGGGAATGGTGGGAACACCAAGTTCAGAATGTCGGGAATGTCGGATTCGGAATGTCGGGAATGTTGGGAATCTGGGCTTGGGAATGTTGGGCTGGAAAGGTTGGGATTGGTGGGAATGGAATGTTGGGAATGTTGGGTTGGGAATGGTAGGGTGGTGGAGATGGCGGATTGGGAGTGGTGGGAATGTTGGGAATGTTGGGAATGGGATGTTGGGAATGTTGGGAATGTTGAGGATGGAATGTCAGGAATGGGACGTTGGGATGATGGGAATGTTGGGTTGGGAATGTTGGGAACCTTGGGAATGTTGAGGTCAGAATGTTGGGAATGTTGGATTGGGAATGTTGGGAATGTTGGGAATGGTGGATTTGGAATGGTGGGAATGTTGAGTTCAGGACATTGGGAATGTTGGAGATGGAGGGAATGGAATGGTGGGAATGGTGGGAATGTTGAGTTTGGAATGTTGGGAATGTTGGAGATGGAGGGAATGGAATGGTGGGAATGTTGAGTTTGGAATGTTGGGTGCTGGGATCCTGGTGGATCCCACCACAAAGCCCTCATGGATCCCACCCCCATCTCCTGGTGGATCCACCACAAACCCCTGGTGGATCCCTCCATGAAATCCTGGCCAATCCCACCACGAGCCCCTGGTAGATCCCACCCCCATCTCCCGTTGGATCCCACCATGAGCTCCTGGCCGATCCCACCATGATCTCCTGGCCAATCCCACCACAAAGCCCTGGCAGATCCCACCCCCATCTCCTGGCTGATCCCAGCACAAAGCCCTGGTAGATCCCACCATGTGATTCTCATGGATCCCACCACAAGATCCTGGTGGATCCCACCACGACACCATGGCTGATCCCACCACAACCCCCTGGTAGATCCCACCCTGATCTCCCACTGGATCCCACCACAAACCCCTGGTAGATCCCACCACAATCTCCCATTGGATCCCACCATGATCTCCTGGCCAATCCCACCACAAACCCCTGGTAGATCCCACCCCGATCTCCTGTTGGATCCCACCCCGATCTCCTGGCCAATCCCACCATGATCTCCCGCCGGATCTCACCACAAACCCCTGGTAGATCCCACCACAAACCCCTGGTAGATCCCACCCTCATCCCCTGTTGGACACCACCATGAGAACCTGGTAGATCCCACCACAAAGCCCTGGCAGATCCCACCATGATCTCCTATTGGATCCCACCACGAACCCCTGGCCAATCCCACCATGATCTCCTGGCCAGTCCCACCACGAACCCCTGTTGGATCCCACCATGAACCCCTGGTAGATCCCACCCTGATCTCCTGCCGGATCCCACCGGGAGCTCCTGGCCAATCCCACCACGATCTCCTGTTGGATCCCACCACAAACCCCTGGTAGATCCCACCATGATCTCCTGGTCAATCCCACCACAATCTCCTGGCCAGTCCCACCACAAACCCCTGGTAGATCCCACCATGGTCTCCCATTGGATCCCACCATGATCTCCTGCTGGATCCCACCACGAACCCCTGGCCGATCCCACCATGATCTCCTGGCCAATCCCACCACGAACCCCTGGTAGATCTCATCCTGATCTCCCACTGGGTCCCACCATGATCTCCTGGCCAATCCCACCAAAAAGTCCTGATGTTTCACACCACGAAACTCTGGTAGATCCCACCACGTTCTCCCATTGGATCCCACCACGAACCCCTGGTAGATCCCACCATGATCTCCTGTTGGATCCCACCATGAACCCCTGGCCAATCCCACCACGACCTCCTGGCTGGTCCCACCACAAACCCCTGGTAGATCCCACCATGATCTCCTGGCCAATCCCACCACAAACCCCAGTTGGATCCCACCACGACCTCCTGGCCAATCCCACCACGAACCCCTGGTAGATCCCACCACGAACCCCTGGTAGATCCCACCATGATCTCCTGCCAGTTCCCACCAGGAGCTCCTGGCCAATCCCACCACGAACCCCTGGTAGATCCCACCATGAACCCCTGGCCGATCCCACCACAAAACCCTGGTAGATCCCACCCTGATCTCCCATTGGATCCCACCATGATCTCCTGGCTGATTGCACCACAAACCCCTGGTAGATCCCACCATGATCTCCCATTGGATCCCACCAGGATCTCATGGCCAGTCCCACCACAAACCCCTGGTAGATCCCACCACGAACCCCTGGTAGATCCCACCACGAGATCCTTGTGGATCTCACCATGAGCTCCCGGCCAATCCCATCCCGATCTCCTGGCTGATCCCACCACAAACCCCTGGTAGAACCCACCACGACCTCCTGGCCGATCCCACCACGAATCCCTGGTAGATCCCACCATGAGCTCCTGGCCGATCCCACCACGACCTCCTGGCCAGTCCCACCACGAACCCCTGGTAGATCCCACCACGATCTGTTGGATCCCACCATGAATCGCTGGTAGATCCCACCACAATCTCCCATTAGATCCCACCACGAACCCCTGGTAGATCCCACCCCATCTCCTGGCCGATCCCACCCTGATCTCCTGGCCAATCCCACCGGAGCTGTCCACCCCCGCAGGGTTCCTGACGGCCGTCGTGGCCAACTGGTGGCTGGACGACACGGCCGGGAGGTCCCGCACGGCGGAGCTGCTGCAGGAGCTGCGCCGAACCTTCCACCTGGTCCTCGAGTCCTGCCGGGTCGGCGCCGCCAAGCCCCACCCGGACATCTACAGCCGCGCCCTGAAGGAGCTGGGGGTGCAACCCCACGAGGTGCCACCAGAACCCCAAAAAATCCCGGAATTGGGGTGGTCCAGGGGCCAGAAACTGGGAAAAGTCCAGGGGCTTGAAGCTATGGGAGATGCCACCACCATCTCCCAAAAATTTGGGATTTCCCATGTCCCAAATCCATGGAAATCCCGGGAATTTGAAGCTGTGGGAGATGTCACCACAATTCCCAAATCCGGGATTTTCCATCCCATAAATCCATGGATTTTCCCATGAATTTGAAGCCATGGGAGATGCCACCACCACAATTCCAAAAATCTGCAGAATCCGGGATTTCCCATGTCCCAGATCCATGGATTTTCACGGGAATTTGAAGCTGTGGGAGATGCCACCAAAATCCCCAAAATCTGGGATTTTCCATCCCATAAATCCATGGATTTTCCCAGGGATTTGAAGCTATGGGAGATGCCACCAAAATCCCCCCAAAAATTTGGGATTTTCCATCCCCCACATCCATGGATTTTCCTGGGAATTTGAAGCTATGGGAGATGCCACCACCATACTCGAAAAAATTTGGGATTTGGGGTTGTCCATGGTCCAGATCATTGGAAAAGTCCAGGGGTTTGAAGCTATGGGAGATGCCACCAAAATCCCCCCAAAAATTTGGGATTTGGGATCGTCCATGGTCCAGATCCTTGGAAAAGTCCAGGGGTGTGAAGCTATGGGAGATGCCACCATAATCTCCCCAATAATTTGGGATTTTCCATGACCCCAATCCATGGAATTCCCGGGAATTTGAAGCTGTGGGAGATGCCAGCACAATTCCCAAATCCGGGATTTTCCATCCCATAAATCCATGGATTTTCCCAGGGGTTTGAAGCCATGGGAGATGCCACCACAATTCCCAAAAACCCCAAAATTTGGGATTTCCCATGTCCCAATTCCATGGATTTTCCCGGGAATTTGAAGCCATGGGAGATGCCACCACCATCTCCCAAAAAATCCGGGATTTGGGGTTGTCCATGGTCCAGATACTGGGAAAAGTCCAGGGGTTTGAAGTTATGGGAGATGCCACCACAATCCCAAAAGATCCGGGATTTGGGGTCATCCATGGCCCAGATCGTTGGAATATTCCAGGGATTCGAAGCTATGGGAGATGCCACCACCATCCTCGAAAAAATTTGGGATTTGGGGTTTCCATGGCCCAGATCACTGGAAAAGTCCAGGGGTTTGAAGCTATGGCAGATGCCACCATAATCCCCCAAAAAAATCCGGGAATTGGGGTTGTCCATGACCCGGATCATTGGAAAAGTCCAGGGGTTTGAAGCTATGGGAGATGCCACCAAAATCCCCCCAAAAATTTGGGATTTTCCATCCCCCAGTTCCATGGATTTTCCCGGGAATTTGAAGCTGTGGGAGATGCCATCACCATCCCGGGAATCTGGAATTTTCCATCTCATAAATCCATGGAATTCCCGGGAATTTGAAGCCATGGGAGATACCACCACCATCCCAAAAACCCCAAAATCCGGGATTTTCCATCCCCCAATTCCATGGATATTCCCAGGAATTTAAAGCCATGGGAGATGCCACCACAATTCCCAAATCTGGGATTTTCCATCCCATAAATCCATGGATTTTCCCAGGGATTTGAAGCCATGGGAGATGCCACCAAAACCCCAAAAAAATCCGGGAATTGGGGTTGTTCATGGCCCAGATCCTTGGAGGATCTCTGGGATTTGAAGCTATGGGAGATGCCACCAAAATCCCCCCAAAAATTTGGGAATTGGGGTTGTCCATGGTCCAGATACATGGAAAAGTCCAGGGGTTTGAAGCCATGGGAGATGCCTCCACCATCCTCGAAAAAACTTGGGAATTGGGGTCATCCATGGCCCAGATGATTGGAGGATCTCAGGGGTTTGAAGCTATGGGAGATGCCACCAAAATCCCCCCAAAAATCCGGGATTTGGGGTTGTCCATGGCCCAGAAACTTGGAAAATTCCAGGGGTTTGAAGCTATGGGAGATGCCACCACAATTCCCCCAAAAATTTGGAATTTGGGATTTCCCATGTCCCAAATCCATGGATTTTCCCGGGAATTTGAAGCTGTGGGAGATGCCACCACCATCTCCCAAAAAATCCGGGATTTGGGGTTGTCCATGGCCCAGAAACTGGGAAAAGTCCAGGGGTTTGAAGCTATGGGAGATGCCACCAAAATCCTTGAAAAAATCCGGGATTTGGGGTGGTCCATGGTCCAGAAACTGGGAAAAGTCCAGGGATTTGAAGCTATGGGAGATGCCACCACCATCCCCGAAAAAACGTGAATTGGGGTTGTCCATGGTCCAGATCATTGGAAAATTCAGGGGTTTGAAGCTATGGGAGATGCCACCACCATCCCCAAAAAATCAGGGATTTGGGGTTGTCCAGGGCCCAGATCCTTGGAAAAGTCCACGGGTTTGAAGCTATGGGAGATGCCACCACAATACCCAAAAACCCCAAATCTGGGATTTTCCATGTCCCAAATCCATGGATTTTCCTCGGAATTTGAAGCCATGGGAGATGCCACCACAATTCCTAAAAACCCCAAAAATTGGGATTTCCCACCCCCAATTCCATGGATTTTCCCGGGAATTTGAAGCTGTGGGAGATGCCACCACAATCCCAAAAACCCCAAAATTTGGGATTTTCCATCCCCCAAAACCATGGATTTCCCGGGAATTTGAAGCCCTGGGAGATGCCACCACAATTCCCAAAAATCTGCGGAATCTGGGATTTCCCATGTCCCAAATCCATGGATTTTCCCGGGAATTTGAAGCTGTGGGAGATGCCACCACCATCCCAAAATCCGGGATTTTCCATCCCATAAATCCATGGATTTTCCCAGGGATTTGAAGCCATGGGAGATGCCACCAAAATCCCCCCAAAAATTTGGAATTTGGATTCGTCCATGGCTCAGGTCCTTGGAGGATCTCTGGGATTTGAAGCTATAGGAGATGCCACCAAAATGCCCCCAAAAATTTGGGATTTGGGGTTGTCCATGGCCCAGATCATTGGAAAATTTCAGGGGTGTGAAGCTATGGGAGATGCCACCACCATCCCCAAAAAATCCGGGATTTTGGGTGGTCCAGGGCCCAGAAACTTGGAAAATTCCCGGGGTTTGAAGCTATGGGAGATGCCACCAAAATGCCCCAAAAATTTGGGATTTGGGGTTGTCCATGGCCCAGATCATTGGAAAAGTCCAGGGGTTTGAAGCTATGGGAGATGCCACCACAATACCCAAAAACCCCAAAATCTGGGATTTTCCATCCCTCAAATCCATGGATTTTCCCGGGAATTGGAAGCCCTGGGAGATGCCACCACCATCCCAAAAATCTGCGGAATCTGGGATTTTTCCATGTCCCAAATCCATGGATTTTCCCGGGAACTTGAAGCCATGGGAGATGCCACCAAAATCCCCAAAAAATCCGGGATTTGGGGTTGTTAATGACCCAGATCCTTGGAAAAGTCCAGGGGTTTGAAGCTATGGGAGATGCCACCACAATACCCAAAAAATCCAGGAATTGGGGTCATCCATGGTCCAGATACATGGAAAAGTCCAGGGGTTTGAAGCTATGGGAGATGCCACCAAAATCCTCAAAAAAATTTGGGAATTGGGGTTGTCCATGGTCCAGATCCTTGGAAAAGTCCAGGGGTTTGAAGCTGTGGGAGATGTCACCAAAATCCTCCAAAAAATCCGGGATTTGGGGCTGTCCATGGTCCAGATCCTTGGAAAAGTCCAGGGGTTTGAAGCTGTGGGAGATGTCACCAAAATCCTCCAAAAAATCCAGGATTTGGGGTGGTCCATGGCCCAGAAACTTGGAAAAGTCCAGGGGTTTGAAGCTATGAGAGATGCCACCACAATACCCAAAAACCCCAAATTTCGGGATTTCCCATGTCCCAAATCCAGGGATTTTCACGGGAATTTGAAGCCATGGGAGATGCCACCACAATTCCCAAAAACCCCAAAATCCGTGATTTTCCATGTCCCAAATCCATGGAATTCCCGGGAATTTGAAGCCATGGGAGATGCCACCAAAATCCCCAAAAAATCCGGGAATTTGGGGTTGTCCACGGCCCAGAAACTTGGAAAATTCCCGGGGTTTGAAGCTATGGGAGATGCCACCAAAATCCCAAAAATCCGGGATTTGGGCTGGTCCATGGCCCAGATCATTGGAAAAGACCAGGGGTTTGAAGCTATGGGAGATGCCACCACCATCCTTGAAAAAATCTGGGATTTGGGGTGGTCCAGGGGCCAGAAACTGGGAAAAGTCCAGGGGTTTGAAGCCATGGGAGATGCCACCACCATCCCCCAAAAAATTTGGGAATTTGGGGTCATCCATGGTCCAGATACATGGAGGATCTCAGGGGTTTGAAGCTATGGGAGATGCCACCAAAATCCCCCAAAAAATCCGGGATTTGGGGTTGTCCATGGCCCAGAAACTGGGAAAAGTCCAGGGGTTTGAAGCTATGGGAGATGCCACCAAAATCCCACAAAAATTTGGAATTTGGGGTTGTCCATGGCTCAGGTCCTTGGAGGATCTCAGGGGTTTGAAGCCATGGGAGATGCCACCAAAATCCCCCAAAAAATCCAGGAATTGGGGTGGTCCAGGGCCCAGATCCTTGGAAAAGTCCAGTGGCTTTGAAGCTATGGGAGATGCCACCAAAATCCCTCCAAAAATCCGGGAAATGGGGTTGTCCATGGTCCAGATACCTGGAGGATCTCAAGGGTTTGAAGCCATGGGAGATGCCACCACCATCCCCAAAAAATCCAGGATTTGGGGTTGTCCATGGCCCAGAAACTTAGAAAAGTTCAGGGGTTTGAAGCTATGGGAGATGCCACCACAATCCCCCAAAAAATCCGGGAAATGGGGTTGTCCATGGTCCAGATAATCAGAAAATTCCAGGGGTTTGAAGCTATGGGAGATGCCACCACAATTCCCAAAAACCCCAAAATTTGGGATTTTCCATCCTCCAAATCCTGGGATTTTTACGGGAATTTGAAGCCATGGGAGATGCCACCACAATTCCCAAAAATCTGCGGAATCTGGGATTTCCCATGTCCCAAATCCATAGATTTTCCTGGGAATTTGAAGCTGTGGGAGATGCCACCACTGTTCCCAAAATCTGGGATTTTCCATGTCCCAAATCCATGGATTTTCCTGGAGATCCAAAGTCCCGGGAGATGCCACCACCATTCCAAAAATCTGGGATTTTCCATCTCCCAAATCCATGGAATTCCCGGGAATTTGAAGCCATGGGAGATGCCACCAAAATCCCCAAAAAATCCGGGAATTTGGGGTTGTCCACGGCCCAGAAACTTGGAAAATTCCCGGGGTTTGAAGCTATGGGAGATGCCACCAAAATCCCAAAAATCCGGGATTTGGGCTGGTCCATGGCCCAGATCATTGGAAAAGACCAGGGGTTTGAAGCTATGGGAGATGCCACCACCATCCTTGAAAAAATCTGGGATTTGGGGTGGTCCAGGGGCCAGAAACTGGGAAAAGTCCAGGGGTTTGAAGCCATGGGAGATGCCACCACCATCCCCCAAAAAATTTGGGAATTTGGGGTCATCCATGGTCCAGATACATGGAGGATCTCAGGGGTTTGAAGCTATGGGAGATGCCACCAAAATCCCCCAAAAAATCCGGGATTTGGGGTTGTCCATGGCCCAGAAACTGGGAAAAGTCCAGGGGTTTGAAGCTATGGGAGATGCCACCAAAATCCCACAAAAATTTGGAATTTGGGGTTGTCCATGGCTCAGGTCCTTGGAGGATCTCAGGGGTTTGAAGCCATGGGAGATGCCACCAAAATCCCCCAAAAAATCCAGGAATTGGGGTGGTCCAGGGCCCAGATCCTTGGAAAAGTCCAGTGGCTTTGAAGCTATGGGAGATGCCACCAAAATCCCTCCAAAAATCCGGGAAATGGGGTTGTCCATGGTCCAGATACCTGGAGGATCTCAAGGGTTTGAAGCCATGGGAGATGCCACCACCATCCCCAAAAAATCCAGGATTTGGGGTTGTCCATGGCCCAGAAACTTAGAAAAGTTCAGGGGTTTGAAGCTATGGGAGATGCCACCACAATCCCCCAAAAAATCCGGGAAATGGGGTTGTCCATGGTCCAGATAATCAGAAAATTCCAGGGGTTTGAAGCTATGGGAGATGCCACCACAATTCCCAAAAACCCCAAAATTTGGGATTTTCCATCCTCCAAATCCTGGGATTTTTACGGGAATTTGAAGCCATGGGAGATGCCACCACAATTCCCAAAAATCTGCGGAATCTGGGATTTCCCATGTCCCAAATCCATAGATTTTCCTGGGAATTTGAAGCTGTGGGAGATGCCACCACTGTTCCCAAAATCTGGGATTTTCCATGTCCCAAATCCATGGATTTTCCTGGAGATCCAAAGTCCCGGGAGATGCCACCACCATTCCAAAAATCTGGGATTTTCCATCTCCCAAATCCATGGAATTCCCGGGAATTTGAAGCCATGGGAGATGCCACCAAAATCCCCAAAAAATCCGGGAATTTGGGGTTGTCCACGGCCCAGAAACTTGGAAAATTCCCGGGGTTTGAAGCTATGGGAGATGCCACCAAAATCCCAAAAATCCGGGATTTGGGCTGGTCCATGGCCCAGATCATTGGAAAAGACCAGGGGTTTGAAGCTATGGGAGATGCCACCACCATCCTTGAAAAAATCTGGGATTTGGGGTGGTCCAGGGGCCAGAAACTGGGAAAAGTCCAGGGGTTTGAAGCCATGGGAGATGCCACCACCATCCCCCAAAAAATTTGGGAATTTGGGGTCATCCATGGTCCAGATACATGGAGGATCTCAGGGGTTTGAAGCTATGGGAGATGCCACCAAAATCCCCCAAAAAATCCGGGATTTGGGGTTGTCCATGGCCCAGAAACTGGGAAAAGTCCAGGGGTTTGAAGCTATGGGAGATGCCACCAAAATCCCACAAAAATTTGGAATTTGGGGTTGTCCATGGCTCAGGTCCTTGGAGGATCTCAGGGGTTTGAAGCCATGGGAGATGCCACCAAAATCCCCCAAAAAATCCAGGAATTGGGGTGGTCCAGGGCCCAGATCCTTGGAAAAGTCCAGTGGCTTTGAAGCTATGGGAGATGCCACCAAAATCCCTCCAAAAATCCGGGAAATGGGGTTGTCCATGGTCCAGATACCTGGAGGATCTCAAGGGTTTGAAGCCATGGGAGATGCCACCACCATCCCCAAAAAATCCAGGATTTGGGGTTGTCCATGGCCCAGAAACTTAGAAAAGTTCAGGGGTTTGAAGCTATGGGAGATGCCACCACAATCCCCCAAAAAATCCGGGAAATGGGGTTGTCCATGGTCCAGATAATCAGAAAATTCCAGGGGTTTGAAGCTATGGGAGATGCCACCACAATTCCCAAAAACCCCAAAATTTGGGATTTTCCATCCTCCAAATCCTGGGATTTTTACGGGAATTTGAAGCCATGGGAGATGCCACCACAATTCCCAAAAATCTGCGGAATCTGGGATTTCCCATGTCCCAAATCCATAGATTTTCCTGGGAATTTGAAGCTGTGGGAGATGCCACCACTGTTCCCAAAATCTGGGATTTTCCATGTCCCAAATCCATGGATTTTCCTGGAGATCCAAAGTCCCGGGAGATGCCACCACCATTCCAAAAATCTGGGATTTTCCATCTCCCAAATCCATGGAATTCCCGGGAATTTGAAGCCATGGGAGATGCCACCAAAATCCCCAAAAAATCCGGGAATTTGGGGTTGTCCATGGCCCAGATCATTGGAAAAGTCCAGGGGTTTGAAGCTATGGGAGATGCCACCAAAATCCCCCCAAAAATTTGGGATTTGGGATCGTCCATGGCCCAGAAACTTGGAGGATCTCAGGGATTGGAAGCTATGGGAGATGCCACCAAAATCCACCAAAAAATCCGGGATTTGGGGTTGTCCATGGCCCAGATCATTGGAAAACTTCAGGGGTTTGAAGTTATGGGAGATGCCACCACCATCCCCAAAAAATGCCAAAATCTGGAATTTTCCACATCCGAAATCCTGGGATATTCCCGGGAATTTGAAGCCATGGGAGATGCCACCACAATCCCCAAAAACCCCAAATTTCGGGATTTCCCATCCCCCAGTTCCATGGATTTTCCCGGGAATTTGAAGCCATGGGAGATGCCACCACAATTCCCAAATCCGGGATTTCCCACCCCCCAGTTCCATGGATTTTCCCGGTTTTTTTTCCAGGTGATTTTCCTGGATTGCTGTGAGCGGGACCTGGGCCCGGCGCGGGCTCTGGGGATGGTCCCGGTGCTGGTGCGGGACACGGGATCCGCCCTGAGGGATCTGCAGCGGATCACCGGGATCCAGGCACGGGATCCCCACTGGGAGCTCCCGATGGGATCGGATGGGGTCTTCTGCGGTCTTCTAGGAAATGCAGGCTGGGATCTTCTGGGATCTTGGATGGGATCTGATGGGATCCCAGGAAGGGCTGGGATTATCTGTGGTCTTCTGGGATCTGCTGGGATTCCAGCCCGGGATCTTCTGGGATCGTCCAGGATCTCGGGGAGGGCCGGGATCTGATGGGAATCCATGCTGGGATCTGGGAATGGCTGGGATCTTCTGGGAAAGGATGGGATATTTTCTGGGAATCTTCTGGGAATCCCGGTCGGGATCTTGGGTGGGATCTTCTGGGATCTGGGAAGGGGTGGGATCTGCTGGGGTCTGGAAAGGATTGGGATCTTCTGGGAATGGGTGGGATCTTCTGGGATCCTCTTGGAATCCAGCCCGGGCTCTTCTTGGATCTTCTGGGATCTCGGGAAGGGGCGGGATCTTCTGGGATCTCCTGGGAATCTGTGCTGGGATCTGCTGGGACCTCCTGGGATTCCAGCCCGGGATTTTCTGGGATCTTCTGGGATCTCGGGAAGGGCTGAGATCTGCTGGGATCTCCTCGGATCTTCTGAGAATCGGGGCTGGGATCTGCTGGGATCTGGGAAGGGTTGGGATCTTCTGGGATCTTCTGGGCTCTTCTGGGAATCCCGGCTGGGATCTTCTGGGATCTTGGGTGGGATCTTCTGGGATCTGGCAAGGATTGGGATCTCCTGGGAATACTGGCTGGGATCTTCTGGGATCTTCTGGTATATCAGGAAGGTCTGGGATCTGCTGGGATCTGGAAAGGATTGGGGTCTCCTGGGATCTCCTGGGAATTCAGGCCGGGATCTTCTGGGATCCTCTGGGATCCAGCCCAGGCTCTTCTCAGATCTCCTGGGATATTGGGAAGGGTCAGGATCTCCTGGGATCTTATGGGGTTCCGGGCTGGGATCTGCTGGGAACTCCTGGGATTCCAGCCTGGGATCAGGGAATCTCTTTGAATCCTGGGTAGGATCTTCGGGGATCTTGGGAATTGTTGGGACATTCTGGGATCTCCTGGGATTCCAGCCCAGGATCTGCTGCGGTCTTCTGAGATCTTGGGAATGGTTGGGATCTTCTGGGAATGGGTGGGATCTTCTGCGGTCTTCTGGGAATCCTGGCTGGGATCTGCTGGGATCTTCTGCGATTTCCAGTCCGGGCTCTTCTCGGATCTTCTGAGATCTCAGGAGGGGCTGGGATCTGCTGGGAATTCAGGCCGGGATCTTCTGGGATCTTGGGAATTGGTGGGATTCTGGGATGGGATCTGGGAATCCGGGCTGGGATCTGCTGGGGGCTGGAAAGAGCCGGGATCTCCTGGGAATCTGGGCTGGGATTTCAACTCGGGATCTTCTGGGATCTCCCAGGAATTATTTGGATTCCAGCCCGGAATCTGGGATCTCTTGGGATCTGGGAATGGGTGGGATCTGCTGGGATCTCCAGGGAATTCTCCTGGGAATCCAGGCTGGGATCTCCTGGGATCTGGGATTGGGATCTACTGGGATCTGGGGTCCAGATCTCCAGGGAATCTGGGCCGGCATTTCCTGGGATCTGGGGTTGGGATCTCCCGGGAATCTGGGATGGGATCTCCAGAGAATCCAGGCCGGGATCTCCTGGGATCTGGGGTCCGGATCTCCAGGGAATCTGGGCTGGGATCTCCTGGGATCTGGGGTCGGGATCTACTGGGATCTGGGATTGGGATCTACTGGGATCTGGGGTCCAGATCTCCTGGGAATCTGGGTTGCGATATCCAGGGAATCCGGGACGGGATCAGGGATCCGGGGTCGGGAACGCGGTGGGGGCGGGGCGGGGATCGGGTGGATCCCAATGGATCCCTCAGGATCCCCCGGGCTGATCCCTCTGGCCCCGCAGCTGCCGGGCCGGGATGTGGCACTGCCGGCGGCCGTGGAGCCCCACGAGGTGGCGCACGGATACGTCCAGATCCGGGTACGGAGCGCGGGATCCACCGGGATCCACTGGGGATACGGGGTGGGGGAGGATGGGAATCTGGGATGGGAATCTGGGATGGAATTGACTGGGAATCTGGGAAGGGATCCACTGGGACCCACTGGGATGGGATCGTCTGGGAATCCATGGTGGGAATCTGGTATGGGAATCCGGGCTGGGATCCACCAGGAACCTGGGCTGGGATCCACTGGCGATCCGGGCTGGGATTGGCTGGAAAGGTTGGGAATCTGGGATGGGATTGGCTGGGATCTACTGGGCTGGGATCCGCTTGGGATCCTAGCTGGGATTGGCTGGGGGAGGATGGGGATCTGGGCTGGGATTGACTGGGAATCCGCTCTGGGATCGACTGGGAACCCAGGCTGGGATTGGCTGGGAATCCGATCTGGGATTGACTGGGAATTTGGGCAGGGATCAACTGGGAATCCTGGCTGGGATCAACTGGGAATCTGGGGTGGGATCAGCTGGGAACTCGGGGTGGGATCTGCTGAGGATCCGGGGTGGGATCCACTGGGAAAGGTTGGGGATCTGGGGTGGGATCCACTGGGAATCCGTGTTGGGATCCACTGGGGAATCCAGGATGGGATTGGCTGGGGGAGGATGGGGATCTGGGCTGGGATTTATTGGAAACCCGGGGTGGGATCAGCTGGGATCCGCTGGGCTGGGATCGGCTGGGAATCCTGGATAGGATCAGTTGGGAATCTGTGGTGGGAATCTGGGATGGGAATCCAGGCAGGGATCCACCGGGAACCTGGGCTGGGATTGGCTGGAAAGGTTGGGAATTTGGGATGGGATTGACTGGGATCCACTGGGCTGGGATCCGCTGGGGATCCAGGCTGGGATTGTCTGGGGGAGGATGGGGATGTGGAATGGGATCTACTGGGAATCCGCTCTGAGATCGACTGGGAATCTGGTCTTGGATCCACTGGGAATCCTGGCTGGGATCTGCCGGGAATCCTGGATGGGATCCACCGGCGATCTGGGCTGGGATTGGCTGGAAAGGTTGGGAATCTGGGATGGGATCCACTGGGAATCCGGAGTGGGATCTGCTGGGAAAGGTTTGGAATCCAGGCTGGGATCCACTGGGAATCTGGGAATGGGTGGGATTCCACCTGGGATTGGGAATTCTGGACTGGGAAAAGTTCCAGAATTCCTGGCCAGGAATTCCTGTTCCCTGCGGAATTCCAGCGCCATTCCCAGCCCGGAATTCCAGAGCTTTTCTGGGCTGGGAATTCCCGTTCCCTTCAAAATTCCAGAGGTTTTCACGGTCTGGAATTCCAACTCCATTCCCGGTCAGGAATTCCGGAGTTTTTCCGGGCCGGGAATTCCAGAACCTGGAACTGTGGGGTTTTTCCTGGCCGGGAATTCCGGAGTTTTCCCGGTTCCCTGTGGAATTCCGGATCCGTTCCCAGACAGGAATTCCAGAGCTCAGCACTTGGAATTCCGGAGTTTTTCTGGGCCGGGAATTCCGGACCCTGGAATTCCAGAGCTTTTCTGGGCTGGGAATCCCGGAAATTTCCTGTTTCCCTGCGGAATTCTGGAGTTTTTCCAGTTCTCCTGTGGAATTCCGGAGTTTTTCCGGGCCGGGAATTCCGGAGTTTTCCCATTTTTCCCTGCGGAATTCCGTCTCCATTCCCAGCCGGGAGTGCGTTTCCACTTTGCCGAGCTGGGTCAGGGCCCGGCGATCGTCCTGTGCCACGGATTCCCCGACTGCTGGCTGGCCTGGCGCTTCCAGGTGAGAATTCCTGAAATTCCCAACATTCCTGAAAATTCCCAACATTCCTGAAATCCCAAAAATAAAAAAAAATCCCCAAATCCCGGCCACATCCCAAAATTCCCGTCCTCATTCTGGAATTCCCATCCCCATCCCGGATTCCCGACTGGCCTTGCACTTCCAGGTGAGACGGAATTCCCAAAATTCCCCAAATCCCAAAATCCCTAAATCCCGGCCCCATCCCAGAGTCCTGGCAGAATTCCAAAAAATTCCAAAAATTACCAAAATCTTAACATTCCCCAAAATCCCCAAAATCCGCAAAAATCCCCAAATCCCGGCCCCATCCTGGAATTCCCGTCCCCATCCCAAAATTCCTCTCCCCATCCTGGACCCCTGGCTGGCCTGGTGCTTCCAGGTGAGATGGAATTCCCAAAATCCCAACATTCTTGACATTCCCAAAATTCCCAAAAATCAAAGAAAAATCCCCAAATCCCGGCCCCATCCCAGAATTCCCGTCCCCATCCCAAAATTCCCATCCCCATCCCGGAGTCACGGCTGGCCCGGTGCTTCCAGGTGAGCTCAGAATTCCCAAAATTCCTGAAATTCCCCAAATCCTGAACTTCCCAAAATCCCAAAATCCCGGCCCCATCCCAGAGTCCTGGCGGAATTCCCAAAAATCCCCACATTTCCCACAATTCCAACATTCCCAAAAATCCCAAAATCCCCAAAAAATCCCCAAATCGCAGCCCGTAATTCCCGTCCCCATCCCAAAATTCCCATCCCCATCCCGGATTCCCAGCTGGCCTGGTGCTTCCAGGTGAGACTGAATTCCCAAAATTCCCAAATTCCCAAAATTCCCAACATTCCCAAACTCCCCAAAATCCCCAAAATCCCCAAATTCTGGCCCCATCCCAGAATTCCCATCCTCATTCTGGAATTCCCATCCCATCCCGGAGTCTCAGCTGGCCTGGCGCTTCCAGGTGAGACCGAATTCCCAAATTTCCTCAAATTCCCAACATTCCCAAAATTCCCAAACTCTCCAAAATCCCAAAAAAATCCCCAAATCCCGGCCCCATCCCGGAATTCCCATCCCCATCCCAAAAATCCCGGCACTATCCCGGACTCCTGGCTGGCCTGGCGCTTCCAGGTGAGACAGAATTCCCAAAATTCCTGAAATTCCTGAAATTCCTAACATTCCTGAACTTCCCAAAAATCCCAAACTTCCCAAAATTCCCAAATCCCCAAATCCCGGCCCCATCCCGGAATTCCTGGCTCTCCCAGCACTTCCAGGTCTGCCCAAAATACCCAGAATTCCCAAAATTCCCAAATTCCCAAACTTCCCGAAATTCCCAAATTCACAGAATTCCCAATCCCACCCTGAAATTCCCATTCCCAAAACTCCCTTCCCTGTCCCGGAATTCCCAAAATCCCAAAATTCCGATCCCATCCCGGAATTCCCGACGTTCCGACCCCATCCCAAAATTCTGAGCCATCCCAGAATTCCCGGTTGATCCCTGCTGTTCCAACACCTCCCCGGAATTCTGGGAATTTCAGAAATGCTGGGAATTTTGGGGAAGTTTTGGGGAATTTTTGGGGAATTTTGGGGAATTTTTGGGGAATTTTTGGGGAATTTTGGGGAATTTTGGGGGGACTTTTTGGGTTTTTTTTGGGGAATTCCTGGGAATTTTTTGGGAATTTTTTTGGGAGTTTTTTGGGAATTTTGGGAGAATTGTTGGGAATTTTTGGGAATTCCTGGGAATTTTTTTGGAATTTTTTGGGAATTCCTGGAATTTTGGGGAATTTTTTTGGAATTTTTTGGGAATTCATGGAAATGTTGGGGAATTTTTTTGGGAATTTTTTTGGGAATTCCTGGGAGGTTTTGGGAATTTTTGGGGAATTTTTTGGGAATTTTTTTGGAATTCCTGGAAATTTTGGGGAGTTTTTTTGGGAATTTTTTGGGAATTTTTTGGGAATTCCTGGAAATTTTGGGGATGTTTTTTGGGATTTTTTTGGGAATTGTTGGGAATTTTTTTGGGAATTTTGGGGGAATTTTTCTGGGAATTGTTGGGAAATTTGGGGGAATTTTTTTGGAATTTGTGGGGAATTTTTCTGGGAATTTTGGGGAAATTTTTTTGGGAATTGTTGGGAATTTGTTTGGGAATTCGCAGCTGGCGGCTCTGGCCGGGTCGGGGTTCCGCGTTTTGGCGCTGGAGATGAAAGGGTTCGGAGAGTCCTCGGCACCGCCCGGTCAGAGACGGAATGACGGCCGGGAAAATGGGAATTCTGGGGGAAATCCGGGAATTCTGGGGGAAAAAAAGAGGGAATTCTGGGAAAAACGTGGGATTTGGGGGGAAAAAAACCATGGCATTTTGAGGGAGAACTCCGGGAATTCTTGGAAGAAATCTGGGAATTTCTGGAAAAAACATGGGAATTCTGGGGAAAAAATGTGGGAATTTGGGGAAAAACATGGGACTTTGGGGGAAAAAAGAGGGAATTTGGGGAGAAAAGTGGGAATTCTGGGGGAAAAAACGTACATTTTTTGGAGAAAACTTGGGAATTTTGGGGAAAAAAAGTGGGAATTTTGGGGAAAAAAAGTGGGAATTTTGGGGGGAAATGTTGCAAATCTGGGGGAAAAATGTGGGAATTCTGGGGGGAAATCCAGGAATTTCTGGGAGAAAATATGGGAGTTCTTGGGAAAAATGTGGGAATTCCTGGAAAAAATGTGGGAATTCTGGGTAAAATGCAGGAATTTGGAGGAAAACATGGAATTTGGGGGAAAAAAAGTCAAAATTCTGGGAAAAAAACGTTGGAATTTTGGGAAAAAAAGGGGGATTTTGGGGGGAAAAAGTGGGAAATCCAGGAGAAATCTGGGAATTCTGAGAGAAAATATGGGTGTTCTGGGGGAAAATGTGGGAATTTTGGGGAAAAACATGGGATTTTTGGGGGAAAACTGTGGGAATTTCAAGAAAAATTTGGGAATTCTGGGGGGAAATATGGGTATTTCTGAGAAAAAAAAGGGAATTCTGGGAAAAAAATATGGGAATTTTGGGGAGAAATCTGGGAATTCTGGGAGAAAATATGGGCATTCTGGGGAAAAAAGTAGGAATTTAGGGGAAAATGGGGGAAATTTGGGGGGAAAATGGGAATTTTGGAGGGGAAAAGAGGGAATTTCGAGAAAAATGTGGGGAATTTTAGGAATAACACAGGATTTGGGGGGAAAAATGTGGGATTTTGGGGAAAACTGTGGGAATTCTGGGAAAATATGGGAATTCTTGGGGGGAAAAGTGGGAATTTGGGGAGAAAAAGTGGGAATTCTGAAAAAAAATTGTGAATTCCAGGAAAAACATGGGATTTTGGGGGAAAAAATGTGGGAATTCTAGGAAAGAAAAATGAGAATTTTGGGAATTTCGGGATGGGGGTGGGATTTTGGGAATTCCGGGGTGTGGGTGGGATTTTGGGAATTCTGGAATTCCGGGATGGGGGTGGTGGGATTTTGGGAATTTTGGGAATTGCGGGAATTCCGGGACGGAATGGGATATCCCGGTTGGATTTCCCGCAGACGTGTCGGAATATTCCCAGGAGCGAATCTGCCAGGTCGGCAATTCCGGGAATCCCGGCGGGATCTGATCCCGATCCCAATGATCCCAATGATCCTGATTTTATCATGATGCCAGTGATCCCAACCCCGCTGATCCCAATCCCGATTTGATCCCAATCCCAACAAGATCTGATCCCTCTGATCCCGATCCCAACAATCCCAATGGGATCCAGCCCGGATCCCACCGATCCCGATCCCGATCCCGATCTGATCCCAATTCTATTGATCCTGATCCCATTAATCCCGATCCCGATCTGATCCTACTGATCTCGATCCCAATTATCCCAATCCCATTGATCCGGATCCAAATCCCGATCTGATCCCGATCCCAATCCCGATCTGAGCCCGGTCCCATTGATCCCGATCCCATTGATCCCAATCCTAATCCCATTGATCCCGATCCCAATCCCGATTTGATCCCGATCCCAATCCCGATCTGAGCCCGGTCCCATTGATCCCAATCCCAATCCCAATCTAATCCTGATCCCAATCCCGATCTGAGCCCGGTCCCATTGATCCTGATCCCATTGATCCCAATCCCATTGATCGTGATCCCATTGATCCCAATCCCAATCCCAATCTGATCCTGATCCCAATCCTGATCTGAGCCTGGTCCCATTGATCCCAATCTGATCCCGATCTGATCCCGATCCCATTGATCCCAATCCCGATCTGATCCTGATCCCAATCCTGATCTGAGCCTGGTCCCATTGATCCTGAACCCAATCCCGATCCCATTGATCCCAATCCCGCTGATCCCAATCTGATCCCGATCCCGATCCCAATCCCGATCCCGTTCTTCTCCCAGGATTTCATCACTTTCCTGGATAAACTGGTGAGGATTTGGGGTTTTTGGGATTTGGGATTTTTTGGATTTGGGATTTTGGGGATTTGAGATTTGGGATTTTGTGTTTGGGGTTTCGGATTTTTGGGGATTTGGGATTTGGGGTTTGGGATTTGGGATTTTTGGGATTTTGGATTTTGGTGATTTGGGGTTTGGGATTTTGATCATTTTTGTGATTTGGGGATTGGGATTTTTGGGGTTTTTGGGATTTGGGGATTTGGGGATTTTGGATTTTGGGGATTTGGGATTTGGGATTTTTGGGATTTGGAGTTTGGGATTTTGGATTTGGGATCTTGGGGTTTTGGGATTTGGGATTTGGGATTTTTGGGATTTGGGGTTTGGGTTTTTTGGGATTTTGGTGGTTTGGAGTTTGGGATTTTGGGATTTGGAATTTTGCATTTCGGGTTTTGGGATTTGGGATTTGGATTTTTGGGTTTGGGATCGTGATTTTGGATTTGGGATTTTGGTGGTTTGGGGTTTGGGGTTTGGGATTTTTTGGATTCAGGATTTGGGGTTCAGGATTTGGGGTTTGTGGTCTTTCGGGATTTGGGGTTTGGGATTTTTGGGAATATGGGTGTTCGGATTATGGGAATTTTTGGGATTTGGGGTTATTTTGGTTTGGGGTGGGGAATTTTTAGGATGTTGAGTTTTGGATTTGGGATTTCGAGGTTTGAGGTTTGAGGTTTGGGATTTTGGGATTTTTGGGGTTGAGGTTCAGGGAATTTCAGGATTTGAGGGATTTTGGGGATTTTTGCATTTGGGGTTCGTGGATTTTGGGGGATTTTGGGGGTTTTGGTTTGGGGAAATTTGGGATTTGGGGGATTTTGGGGATTTAGGGGTTGTGGTTTGGGGGATTTGGGGAATTTGGGGATTTTGGGGATTTCAGGGTTGGGATTTGGGGATTTTGGGGATTTTGGGGATTTCGGGGTTGGGGTTTGGGGAATTTTGGGATTTTGGGGATTTCAGGGTTGGGGTTTAGGGGATTTGCGGAATTTTGGGATTTTGGGGATTTTGGGGTTGGGGTTTGGGGGATTTTGGGGGTTTTTTGGGTTTTGGGGAATACGGGAAATTTGGGGGAATTTTGGGATTCTTTGGGTTTGGGTTTTTGGGGGGTTTGGGTATTTTTGGGGCTGGGATTTTGGGGTATTTTGGGGATTTTTGGGGCTGGGATTTTGGGGTATTTTGGGGATTTGGGGGTTGGGATTTTTGGGGTTTTTGGGTATTTTTGGGGCTGGGATTTGGGGTATTTTGGGGATTTGGGGGTTGGGATTTTTGGGGTTTTTGGGTATTTTTGGGGCTGGGATTTGGGGTATTTTGGGGATTTGGGGGTTGGGATTTTTGGGGGGATTTGGGGATTTTTGGGGTGGGGATTTGGGGTATTTTGGGGATGTGGGGGTTGGTTCCGTCGCTCCCCACGGGGTTTCCGTCCCGCCCCCGCAGGGGCTCCCTCAGGTGGTTCTGATTGGCCACGACTGGGGCGGGGCCATGGCCTGGAACGTGGCGCTCTTCTACCCCGAGCGCCTGCGGTGAGCAACCCCGAAATCCCGAAAATCCCACAGCAAAAAACCCAAATACGCGAAAATCCCATCCCAAAAAACCCAAAATCCGTAAAAATCCCATTCCAAAAAAACCCCAAATCCATAAAAATCCCAGAGTGAAAAATCCCAAAATCCATAAAAATCCCAGAACAAAAATCCCAAATCCATAAAAATCCCAGAGTGAAAAATCCCAAAATCCATAAAAATCCCAGAACAAAAATCCCAAATCCATAAAAATCGCTCAGGAAAAAAAACAAAAGTCCATAAAAATCCCATCCCAGAAAAACCCAAATCCATAAAAATCCCAGTCCAAAAATCCCAAAATCCATAAAAATCGCTCAGGAAAAAACCAAAAATCCATAAAAATCCCAGTCCGAAAATCACAAAATCCATAAAAATCCCATCCCAGAAATCCCCAAAATCAATAAAAATCCCAGTCCAAAAACACCCAAATCCATAAAAATCCCATAGAAAAAAACCCAAATCCATAAAAATCCCAGAGTGAAAAATCCCAAAATCCATACAAATCCCATCCCAAAAAAACCCAAAATCCATAAAAATCCCAGTTCAAAAATCTCAAAATCCATAAAAGTCCCATAGGAAAAAAAAAAACAAAATCCATAAAAATGCCATAGGTAAAAAATCCCATAATCCATAAAAGTCCCAGTCCAAAAATCCCAAATCCATAAAAATCGCTCAGGGAAAAAACCAAAAATCCATAAAAATCCCATCCCAGAAAAACCTAAATCAATAAAAATCCAATCCCAAAAATCCCAAAATCCATAAAAATCCCAGTCCAAAAATCACAAAATCCATAAGAATCCTATCCCAGAAATCCCCAAAATCCATAAAAATCCCATCCCAGAAATGCCAAAATCCATAAAAATCCCATTTCAAAAAACCCCCAAATCCATAAAAATCCCATGGCAGAAATCCCAAATCCATAAAAATCCCATCCCAGAAAGCCCCAAAATCCATAAAAATCCCAGAGTGAGAAATCCCAAAATCCATAACAATCTCAGTCCAAAAAAACCCAATATCCATAAAAATTCCTCAGGAAAAAATCCCAAAATCCATAAAAATCCCAGTCCAAAAAAACCCAAATCCATAAAAATCCCATCCCAGAAATCCCAAAATCCATAAAAATCCTATCCCAGAAATCCCCCAAATCAATAAAAGTCCCATTCCAGAAATCCAAAAATCCATAAAAATCCCATCCCAAAAATCCCCAAAATCAATGAAAATCCCCAACTAAAAACCCCCTAATCAATAAAAATCCCATTACAATATCCCGATAACCGATCAATAAGCCAATAACCGATCAGTAAAAACCCAATAACCGATCTATGAAGACCCAATTACCGATCAATAACTGATCAATAACCAATGATCAATCCCCCCAGGGCTGTGTCCCTCCCTGAAGGCGCCGTTCCGGCACAGTCGATAAAAATCCTGTAACAGAGCCCCAATAACCAATGCATAAAAGGCAATAACTGATCAATAACCGATCAATAACTGATCAATAACCGATAATCAATCCCCAAGGGCCTTCCTGAAGGTGCCGTTCCGGCACAGCCGATAAAAATCCTGTAACAGAACCCCGATAACTGATCGATAAAATCCCGATAACCGATGAATAAAAGGTGATAACCGATCGATAACCGATCAATAACTGATCAATAACCGATAATCAATCCCCGATCAGGGCAGTGGCCTCCCTGAAGGCGCCGTTCTGGCACAGCCGATAAAAACCCCGGAACAGAACCCCAATAATGGTTCAATAAAATCCCGATAACCAATGAATAAAAGGCAATAACCTATCAATAACCGATCAATAACTGATCAATAACTGATAATCAATCCCCCAGGGCCTCCCTGAAGGCGCCGTTCCGGCACAGCCGATAAAAATCCCGTAACAGAACCCCGATAACCGATCGATAAACCCCTGATAACTGATGAATAGAAGGCGATAACCGATCTATAACCGATCAATAACCGATCAATAACCGATAATCAATCTCCGATCAGGGCGGTGGCCTCCCTGAAGGCGCCGTTCTGGCACAGCCGATAAAAATCCCGTAACAAAGCCCCGATAACCAATGAATAAACGGCAATAACCAATCGATAACCGATCAATAACCGATCAATAACTGATCAATAACCAATAATCAATCCCCGCTCAGGGCGGTGGCCTCCCTGAAGGCGCCATTCCGGCACAGCCGATAAAAATCCTGGAACAGAACCCCAATGAATAAACCAATAAACCAATAACCAATCAATAAACGGCAATAACTGATTGATAACCAATCAATAACCGATCGATACCGGATCAATAACCGATAATCAATCCCCGATCAGGGCGGTGGCCTCCCTGAACACGCCATTCCGGCACAGCCGATAAAAATCCCAGAACAGAACCCTGATAAAAGATTGATAGAAACCCGATAACCAATCGATAACCAATCAATAACCGATCAATAACCGATCAATAACCGATAATCGATCCCGATCAGGGCGGTGGCCTCCCTGAACATGCCGTTCCGGCACAGCCAATAAAAACCCCGGAACAAATCCCGATAACCGATCGATAAAATCCCGATAACCGATGAATGAAAGGCAATAACGGATCTATAACCGATCAATAACCGATCAATAACCGATAATCAATCCCCGATCAGGGCGGTGGCCTCCCTGAACACGCCGTTCCGTCCGGCCCAGCCCGACTCCGACCCTCTGGAGCAGCTCCGGAGGATCCCGAACTTCGACTATCAGCTCTACTTCCAGCGGCCGGTGCGCAGCCGGGAACCCCAAATATCCCAAAATCCCAAACATCCCAAATCCCAAATCCCGAATTCCAAAAATACCAAAATCCCAAAATCCCAAATCCCGAATCCCAAAAATCCCCAAAAATCCCAAATCCCGAAAATCTCGAATCCCCAAAATCCCAAAAATCCCAAATCCCCAATCCCAAATCCCCAAAATCCCCAATCCCGAAAATCCCAAAAATCCTCAATTCCAAATTCCAAATCCTGGAAATCAAAAAAATCCCCAAAATCCCAAATCCCAAAATCCCAAATCCCAAAAATCCCCAAAAATCCCCAAAAATCCCCAAAAATCCCCAAAAATCCCAAAAATCCCAAAATCCCAAAAATCCCCAATCCCAAAAATCCCAAATCCCAAATCCCAAATATCCCAAAAATCCCAAATCCCAAACATCCGGAAGTCCCAAATCCCAAAAATCCCAAATCCCGAATTCCAAAAATCACAAAAATCCCAAATCCCAAATTCCAAAAATCCCTAAAATCCCATAGCCCAAAAACCACCAAATCCCAAATCCCAAAAATCCTAAATCCACAATCCCAAAAATCCCCAAAATCCTGAAAATCCACAAAATCCCAAATCCCCAATGACCAAAATCCCCAAAATCCCAAATACCAAAAATCCACAAAATCCACAAAATCCACAAAATCCCGAAAATCCCAAAAATCCCAAAAATCCCAAAAATCCCAAATCACAAAAATCCCAAATCCCCATTCCCAAAAATCCCCAAAATCCCGAATCCCAAAAGTCCCCAGAATCCCAAATCCCAAAAATCCTGAATCCCGAAAATCCCAGATCCCAAATCCCAAAAATTCCCAATCCCAAATCCCCCGAATCCCAAACCCCAAATCCCAAAAATCCACAAAAACCAAAATTCAAAAAATCCCAAAAATCCCAAATTCCAAAAATCCCCAAAATCCCAAATCCCAAAAATCCCAAAAATCAAAAAAATCCAAAAAATCCCAAAAATCCCGACTCCCCAAAATCCCAAATCCCGAATCCCAAAAATCCCCAAAACCCAAAATCCTGAATTCCGAATCCCAAAAAAAATCCCAAATCACACAAAAGTCAAAATCCCCAAAATCCCAAAAATCCCAAATCCTGAATCCCAAAAATCCCGAATCGTGAATCCTGAATATCCCAAAAATGCCAAATCCCAAAAATACGAAATTTCAAAAATCCCAAATCCCAAAAAAATCCCAAATCCCAAAAACCCCAAACCCCAAAAAATCCAAAATCCTGAATTCCCAAATCCCAAACCCCAAAATTCCCAAATCCCGAATTTTTTAAATCTCAGCCCGGAGGTTTTGGGGATTTTTTGGGGATTTTCTTCCGTTTTTTGGGGGGATTTTTTTGGGATGTTTTTGGGATATTTTTGGGATCAATCCCGCTGGTTTTGGGATTTTTTGGGGATTTTATCCTGATGGTTTTGGGATTTTATCCCGGTGGTTTTTGGGATATTTTTGGGGATTTTATCCCACTGTTTTTTGGGATTTTTTGGGATGTTTTTGGGGTTTTATCCCGATGTTTTTGGGGTTTTTTTAGGATTTTATCCTGTTGGTTTTGGGGTATTTTTGGGATGTTTTGGGATGTGTCCTGCTGTTTTTGGGATGTTTTTGAGATTTTTTTGGGATATTTTTGGGATTAATCCCGCTGTTTTTGGGATGTTTTTGGGATTTTATCCTGATGGTTTTGGGATGTTTTTGGGATTTTATCCCGATGGTTTTGGGATTTTTTTGGGATATTTTTGGGATTTTATCCCGCTGTTTTGGGGGTGTTTTGGGGGTATTTTTGGGGTTTTTTTGGGGTTTTATCCTGGTGTTTTTGGGGTATTTTTCGGATGTTTTGGGATTTTATCCAAATGTTTTTGGGATATTTTTGGGATTTTATCCCGATGGTTTTTGGGATGTTTTTGGGATTTATCCGGCTGTTTTTGGGATTTTTTCCATGTGTTTTTGGGATTTTATGCAAATGTTTTTGAGATGTCTTTGGGATTTGATCCCGGTGTTTTTGGGGTGGTTTTGGGATGTTTCTGGGATTTTATCCCACTGTTTCTGGGGTGTTCTTGGGATGTTTTGGGATTTTATGCGAATGTTTTGGGGATATTTTTGGGGATTTTATTCTGCTGTTTTTGGGATGTTTTTGGGATGTTTTTGGGATTCATCCCGCTGTTTTTGCGGTTTTTTTGGGATATTTTGGGTCTTTTTTGGAATGTTTTTGATATGTTTTTGGGATTTTATCCTGGTGTTTCTGGGGATTTTTTGGGATTTTATCCCGGTGGTTTTTGGGATGTTTTTGGGATTTTATCCCGATGGTTTTTGGGATTTATCACGCTGTTTTTGGGATGTTTTTGGGGATTTTATTCTGATGTTTTTGGGATGTTTTTGGGGATTTTATCCCCATATTTTTGGGATTTATCCCACTGTTTTGGGGATTTTTTGGGGATGTTTCTGAGATTTTTTTGGGATGTTTTGGGGTTTTTAGGGGGTGGCGGAGGCGGAGCTGGAGAAGGACATCGGGAGGAGCCTGAAAATCCTGATCCGATCCAGCGAGGCCGAGGTGGGATTTGGGATCTGGGATTTGGGATTTGGGATCTGGGATTTGGGGTTTGGGGTTTGGGATTTGGGATTTGGGATTTGGGGTTTGGGGTTTGGGATTTGGGGTTTGGGGGATTTGGGATTTGGGGTTTGGGGTTTGGGGTTTGGGGTTTGGGATTTGGGGTTTGGGGTTTGGGGTTTGGGGTTTGGGATTTGGGATTTGGGGTTTGGGATTTGGGAATTTGGGAATTTGGGATTTGGGAATTTGGGATTTGGGGTTTGGGGTTTGGGGTTTGGGGTTTGGGTTTAGGGATTTGGGGTTTGGGGTTTGGGATTTGGGGTTTGGGATTTGGGGTTTGGGGTTTGGGTTTAGGGATTTGGGGTTTGGGGTTTGGGGTTTGGGATTTGGGGTTTGGGGTTTGGGGTTTGGGGTTTGGGATTTGGGGTTTGGGGTTTGGGGTTTGGGATTTGGGGTTTGGGGTTTGGGGTTTGGGGTTTGGGATTTGGGGTTTGGGATTTGGGGTTTGGGGTTTGGGATTTGGGGTTTGGGGTTTGGGGTTTGGGGTTTGGGGTTTGGGGTTTGGGATTTGGGGTTTGGGGTTTGGGGTTTGGGGTTTGGGATTTGGGATTTGGGGTTTGGGATTTGGGGTTTGGGGTTTGGGATTTGGGGTTTGGGATTGGGGATTTGGGGTTTGGGGTTTGGGATTTGGGGATTGGGATTTGGGGTTTGGGGTTTGGGGTTTGGGATTTGGGGTTTGGGATTTGGGGTTTGGGGTTTGGGGTTTGGGATTTGGGGTTTGGGATTTGGGGTTTGGGGTTTGGGGTTTGGGATTTGGGATTCGGGATTTGGGGCCAATATTTGGATTTGGGATCGAGATTGGGGTTGGGGTTGGGATCAGGGTCATCAACAGGGTGGGATTTGGGATGGGATTTGGGATTTGGGATTGGGATGGGATCAGAGTGGGGTCAAGGTTGGAATTGGAAGGGGATTGGGAATGGGGAATGGGATTGGGATTGGGTTTGGGATTTGGGATGGGATTGGGATCAGGATCGGGGTCGGAATTTGGATTGGGATCGGGATTGAGATCGGGAATGGGATCAGGATTTGGGTTGGGATGAAATTGGGATTAGGGTCAGGATTGGGATCGGGAATGGGATTGGGGGTGGGGTTGGGAGCGGGGTCGGGGTCGGGATCAGGACCCGGATTGGGGTCGGGATGGGATCAGGATCCAGATCTTGGTCGGGATTGGGATTGGGATCAGGATCAGGATCAGGGTTGGGATGGGATCGGGATCGGGGTTGGGATTGGGTTTGGGATCGGGATTGGATTGGGATCAGGATTGGGGTTGGAATTGAGATCAGGATCAGGATCGGGGTTGGGATTGGGATTGGGATTGGGATTGGGAACGGGAATGGGAACGGGATTGGTATTGGGATTGAGATTGGGATCAGGATTGGGATCAAGGTTGGGATTGTGATCAAGATCAGGATTGGGATTAGGATTGGGATCGGGGTTGGGATCGGGATGGGATTGGGATCGGGATTGAGATCGGGGATGGGATCGGGATTGGGATCGGCATCAGGGTTGGGATTGGGATCTGGATTGGGATTGGGATTGGGATTGGGATGGGATCGGGATGGGATCGGGATCAAGATTGGGATCGGAGTTGGGATCGGGATCAGGGTTGGGATTGGGGTTGGGATTGGGATGGGATCAGGGTTGGGATTGGGATTGGGCTCAGGATCAAGATTGGGATCGGGATCAGGATTGGGATCGGGATCAGGAACAAGATTGGGATCAGGATCGAGATTGGGATTGAGATTGGGATTGAGATTGGGATTGAGATTGGGATTGGGATTGGGATTGGGATTGGGATTGGGATCGGGATCGGGATCAGAATCGGAATTGGGATTGGGTTCGGGATCCGGATTGGGATTGGGATCGGGATCGGGATCGGGATTGGGATGTGATCGGGATTTGTGTGGGTTCGGGATGGGATTGGGATCAGGATTGGGATTGGGATCGGGATCAGCCGAGGATCTGGAACGGGATCCCGAAGGAATCAGAAATCCCGGAGAGCTTTTCCCTCCTCCAATGGGATCCTCTCTCCGGGCCCGTCCCGGATCCCGCTGTCTCCCTGGGATCCGCTGGGATCGGCTCTGCCGTTCCCAAACCCTTTGGGGTTTCCGGGAATTCCCGGGAATTTGGGATCCCTGACCCCCCCCCCCCGATCCCGCAGGATCGACTCCCGCTCGAGCTCGACTTCCGCCGCGTCCAGGAGAGAGGTGGGAAGCGGAATGGGATCCCAAATCCCAAATCCCCTGGGATTTGGGGGATCTTCTGGGATTGGGAAATCCCCTGGGAATGGGGGATCCTGTGGGATTTGGGGGGGTTCTGGGAATGGGGAATCCCCTGGGAATGGATCCTAAATTCCCTGGGAATGCGAAAACCCCTGGGGGTTTAGGGGAGCCTGGGATTTGGGGGATCCTGTGGGATTTAGGGAATCCCCTGGGATCTGGGGATCCCCTGGGAATGGATCCCAAATCCCCTGGAGTGTAGGGGATCCGGGGATTTGGGGGATTCCCTGGGATTTAGGGAATTCTGGGATTGGGGAATACCCTGGAAATGGGGAATCCTGTGGGATTTGGGGGATCCTGTGGGATTTTGGGGATTCTGGGAATGGGGGATCCCCTGGGATTTGGGGGGGATCCCTCAGGATCTGTGGAATCCCCCGGGAATGGGAGATCCTGAAGATTTTGTGAAGAGATTTCAGGGGGAGGATCCCGAGGGATCCGGGGGAGATCCTGAGGGATTTGGGAATGCTGAGGGGGGATCTGGGGGAGATCCTGAGGGAGGATTTGGGACCCATCCCAATGGATCCTGGTGATCCCGAGGGGGGATCTGGGGCTGATCCCGAGAGATTTCGGTGATCCCGAGGGGGGATCCGGGTGGGATCTCGGGGGAATCTCAGAGATTTCGATGATCCCAAGGGGGATCCGGGGCTGATCCCAAGGGAGGATCTGGGGGAGATCCTAAAGAGGGATCTGGGGCCAATCTGGAGGGGGATTTGGGGCTGATCCCAAGAGATTTCAGTGATCCCAGGGGGGAATCTGGGGCTGATCCTGAGGGAGGATCTGGGTTCGATCCCGAGGGATCTCTGTGGTCCCAAGGGGGGATCTGGGACCAATCCTGAGGGGGAAATCTGGGGTAGATCCCGAGATATTTCGGTGATCCCGAGGGGGGATCTGGGTGGGATCCCGGGGCGGATCCGGGGCTGGTCCCGAGTGGATCCCGGTGATCCCTAAAGCGGGATCTGGGGTTGATCCCGAGAAATTTCTGTGATCCCTGAGGGATCCTGGTGATCCTGAGGGGGGATCTGGGGGAGATCCCAAGGGGGGATCTGGTGGAGATCTCAGGGGGGATCTGGGGTCGATCCCGAGAAATTTTGGTGATCCTGAGGGAGGATCTGGGGTCGATCCCAAGGGAGGATCTGAGGGAGATCCAGAGGGAGGATCTGGGGCCCTTCCCAATGGATCCCGGTGATCCCAAGGGGGAATCTGGGGCTGATCCCAAGATATTTCAGTGATCCCGAGGGGGGATCTGGGGCTGATCCTAAAGAGGATTTGGGGCCAATCCCAAGATATTATGGTGATCCCGAGGGGGGATCCGGGTGGGATCCCAGGGTGGATTCGGGGCCGTTCCCGAGTGGATCCCGGTGATCCCGGGGGGGGATCCGGGTGGGATCCTGAGGGGGGATCCGGGTGGGATCCCGGGGCGGATCCGGGGCTGGTCCCGAGTGGATCCCGGTGATCCCTAAGGTGGGATCTGGGGTCGATCCCGAGAATTTTCGGTGATCCCTGAGGGATCCTGGTGATCCTGAGGGGGATCTGGGGGAGATCCCAAGAGATTTTAGTGATCCCAAGGGGGGATCTGGTGGAGATCTCAGGGGGGATCTGGGGTCGATCCCAAGAAATTTTGGTGATCCCGAGGGGGGATCTTGGGCCAATCCCGAGGGAGGATTTGGGGGAGATCCCGAGGGGGGGTCTGGGGTCGATCCCAGTGATCCTGAGGGGGGATCTAGGGCTGATCCCAAGGGAGAATCTGGGGCCGATCCTGAGAGGGAAATCTGGAGCTGATCCCAAGAGATTTCGGTGATCCCAAGGGGGGATCTGGGGCTGATCCTGAGATGGAAATCTGGGGGAGGTCCCGAGGGATCTTGGGGGGGGGGGGATTTGGGGCCAATACCAAAGAGGATCTGGGGTCGATCCCGAGAGATTCCGGTGATCCCGGGGGGGGGATCCGGGTGGGGTCCTGGGGCGGCTCCGGGGCCGTTCCCGAGTGGATCCCGGTGATCCTGAGGGGGGATACGGGTGGGATCCCGAGAGATTTCAGTGATCCCGAGGGGGGGATCCGGGTGGGATCCTGGGGCGGATCCCGAGTGGATCCCGGTGATCCCAGTGGGCGGCTCCGGGGCCGTTCCCAGTGGATCCCCCCTCCCCCAGGGGGGCTCCTGGTGGGGCTCCCGGAGGATCCCCCCGGCAGCCGCCTGCTGCCCCCCCCGGCGCTGGATTACTACGTCCGACAGTTCCGCACCTCCGGCTTCCGGTGAGATCCCGGGATCCGCCCGATCCCCGCCCCGGATCCGTCCCGGATCCCCTGCCCCGGGCTGGATCCAGTTCCGGGTTTTCTGTGTCCCCAGGGGCCCCCTGAACTGGTACCGGAACGTCCGAGAGAACTGGAGCTGGGCCCTGAGCGCCCGGGGCAGGACGGTGAGCCCGAAATGGAGATCCGGAGAGACCCCGGAGAGATCCCTGAGAGATCCCCGAAAGATCCCAAATGGATCCCAAAGATATCCCAAACTGATCCCTGAAAGATCCCTGAGAGATCCCTGAGAGGTCCCCGAGAGATCCCTGAGAGATCCCCAAGAGATTCTTGAGAGATCCTGAAGTTCTAAAAAAAATATCCCAAACTGATCCCCCAGAGATCCCTGAGAGATCCCCAATATGTCCCCCAGAGATCCCTGAGAGATCCCCGAGAGATCATGGAGGGATCCCTGAGAGATCTCTGGGATGTCCCGGAGAGATCCTGGAGAGGTCCCTGAGAGATCCCAAACTGGTCCCAAAGATATCCCAAACCTATCCCAGAGAGATCCCAGAGAGATCCTGAGATATCCCCGAGAGATCCCCCTGAAAGATCCCGGATAGATCCTGGAGAGATCCCTGAGAGATCCCTCAGAGATCCCTCAGAGATCCTGAGAGATCCCTAGGAGATCCTGAACTTATCCCAAAGATACCCCAAACTGATCCCCCAAGAGATCCCTGAGAGATCCACAGGAGATCCCCCCCAGAGATCCCCCAGAGATCCCCGAGAGATCCCCCAGAGATCGCAGAGAGATCCCTGAGAGGTCCCGGAGAAATCCCCAAGAGATCCCTGAGAGATCCCTGAGAGATCCCAGAGAAATCCTGGAGAGATTCCCCTGAGAGATCCTGAACTTATCCCAAAGATATCCTAAACTTATCCCTGAGAGACCCTGAGAGATCCCCAAGAGATCCCAGAGAGATCCCCCTGAAAGATCCCGGATAGATCCTGGAGAGATCCCTGAGAGGTCCCTGAGAGATCCCTCAGAGATCCTGAGAGATCCCTAGGAGATCCTGAACTTATCCCAATGATACCCCAAACTGATCCCAGAGAGATCCCAGAAAGATCTGGAAGAGACCCCCCCAGAGATCCCCCAGAGATCCCCCAGAGATTCCCCAGAGATTCCCCAGAGATCCCGGAGAGATCCCGGAGAAATCCCCAAGAGATCCCCGAGAGATCCCTGAGAGATCCCTGAGAGATCCCCAAAACATCCTGAACTGATCCCAAAGATATCCCAAACTGATCCCTGAGAGATCCCAGAGACATCGTGGTCCTGACTCCAACCTCAATCCTGATGCCGATCCTGACCCCAATCCTGATCCTGATCCAGGATCCTGATCCCGGTCCCGATCCTGATCCAGGATCCAAATCCTGATCCCGATCCTGACCCCAATCCCGACCCCAATCCCAAATCCTGACCCCTAACCCTGATCCCAATCCCAATCCTGATCCCGATCCTGATCCTGGTCTTGACCCTGATCCCAAATCCTGATCCTGATCCCGATCCCAATCCCGTTCCTGATCTGGGGCCCTTCGGGATCCCCCAGATCCCATTTTCCTACCCTGGGGATCCCCCAAATCCCCTCAGGATCCCCTCGGGATCCCCCAAATCTCATTTGCCCACACTGGGGACCCCCCAAACCACCTGGGGATCCCCCAAATCCCCTCGGGATCCCCCAAACCCCCTCGGGATCCCCCAAACCCCCTCGGGATCCCCCAAAATCCCCTCGGGATCCCCCAAACCCCCCCCGGGATCCCCCAAACCCTGTCCAGGTCCCTTCTGGATCCCCCAAATCCCTCTGGATTCCCCCCAGATCCCCCAAACCCCCATCGGGATCCCCCAAATCCCATTGAGATCCCCTCGGGATCCCCCAAATCCATCTGGATTCCCCCCAGATCCTCCAAATCCCCTCGGGATTCCCCAAATCTCATTTGCCCACCCTGGGGATCCCCCAAACCCCCTCGGGACCCCCCAAATCCCATTGAGATCCCTTTGGGATCCCCCAAATCCACCTGGATTCCCCCCAGATCCTCCAAACCCCTTCGGGATCCCCCCAAACCCCCCTGGAGATCCCCCAAACCGCCCCGGGGATCCCCCAAACCCCCCCAGGACCCCCCAAACCCCCCCAGGATCTCCCAAATTCCCTCGGGATCCCCCCCGAATCCCCTCAGGATCCCCTCGGGATCCCCCAAATCCCATTTCTCCATCCTGGGGATCACCCAAACCCCCTCGGGATCCCCCAAACCTCGTCCAGATCCCCTCGGGATGCCCCAAATCCGTCTGGATTCCCCCCAGATCCTCCAAACCCCTTCGGGATCCCCCGAAGCCCCCCGGGGATCCCCCAAACCTCATCCAAATCCCTTTGGGATCCCCCAAACCCCCCTCGGGATCCCCCAAATCCCCTCAGGATCCCCTCGGGATCCCCCAAATCCCATTTCCCCATCCTGGGGATCACCCAAACCCCCTCCTGGGACCCCCCAAACCCCCTCAGGATCCCCCAAACGCCCCAGAGATCCCCCAAATCCCAGCAGGATCCCCCCAGTCCCCTCGGGATCCCCTCATGATTCTCCAGATCCCATTTTCCTACCCCGGGGATCCCCCCAATCCCTTCGGGATCCCCCAAATCCCATTTTCCCATCCGGGGGACTCCCCCAAACCCCCTCAGGATCCCCCCAAATCCCGTCAGGACCCCTGAGATCCCCTCGGGATCCCCCAAACCCCATTGAGATCCCTTTGAGATCCCCCAAATCCATCTGGATTTCCCCCAGATCCTCCAAACCCCTCGGGATCCCCTAAACCCCTCGGGATCCTCCAAACCTCATCCAAATCCCCCCGGGGATCCCCCAAATCCCCTCGGGATCCCCCAAATCCCATTTGGCCACCCTGGGGATCCCCCAAACCTCCCGGGGATCTCCCCAGACCCCCCAGGGATCCCCCAAATCCTCTCCAGATCCCCTCGGGATCCCTCAAATCCCCTCTGGATCCCCTGTGGAGCCCCCAAATCCCATTTCTTCACCCCGGGGAATCCCCCAAACCCTGTCCAGGTCCCTTTTGGATCCCCCAAATCCCTCTGGATTCCCCCCAGATCCCCCAAATCCCCTCGGGATCCCCCAAACCCCATTGAGATCCCCTCGGGATCCCCCAAATCCCTTTGGGACCCCCCAAATCCCCTCGGGATCCCCTCGGGATCCCCCCAAACCCCGTTGAGATCCCTTTGGGATCCCCCATGGCAGATCTCTCTCCCGGCGCTGTTGGTGACGGCGGGGAAGGATCCGGTGCTGCGGCCCCAACTCAGCCACGGCATGGAGACATGGGTCAGGGAATTCGGGGAAAAATCGGGAATTTGGGGGGGGGGAGTTTGGGAATTCTGGGGGGAAAATGGGGAATTCTGGGGAAAATTTGGGAATTCTGGGGGAAAAATGGGGGAATTTGGGAATTTTGGGGAAAAAACAGGGAGAATTTGGGAATTCTGGGGAAAATTAGGGAATTTTGAGGAAAAAAATCGGGAATTTGGGGAAATTTGGGAATTCTGGGGGGAAAAAGGGAAATTGGGAAAAATGGGGAAAATGCAGGGGAAATTTGCGAATTCCGGGGGGAGAAACGGGGAAAATATGGGAATTCTGTGGGGAAATATGGGGAAAATTGGGGAAAAATGGGGGGAAATGGGGAAAAAATGGGGGAAACGTGGGAATTCTGGGGGAGAAACGGGGAAAATATGGGAGTTTTGGTGAAAAAATGGGGAAATTTTGGGAAGTTTGGGGAAAACCAGGGAAATTTTGGGAATTTTAGGGGAAAATTTGGGAATTTTGGTGAAAAACAAAGATAATTTGGGAATTTGGGGAAATTTGGGAATTCTGGGGGGAAAATGGGGAAAATTTGGGAATAATGGGGGGGAAACGGGGAAAATACGGGAATTCTGGGGGAAAATGGTGGAATTTCGGGAGAATTTTGGGGGGAAAAACGGGAAAATTTGGGCTCTTTGGGAAAAAACAGGGAAAATTTGGGAATTCTGGGGGAAACCCAGGGGAAATGTGGGAATTTTGGGAGAAATTCTGGAATTTTGAGGAAAAGTGGGGAACATTTGAGAATTTTGGGGAAAAAAACTGGGAAAATTTGGGACTTTTGGGGAAAAAACGGGGAAAATTTGGGAATTTTGGGGAAAATTTGGGAATTCTGGGGGGAAAATTGGGAAAATTTGGGAATTCGGGGGAAAAATGGGGAAAATTTGGAATAATGGGGAAAATGCGGGGGAAATTTGGGAATTCTGGGGGGAAAAAGGGGAAAATGTGGGTATTTTGGGGGGAAATGAGGGAAATGTGGGAATTTTGGAGGGAAAATGAGGAATATTTGGGAATTCTGTGCAGGTGCCGAAGCTGCAGCGGCGCCACCTGGAGGAGTGCGGCCACTGGACACAGCTCGAGAGGTGGGGAGGGAGTCCCCATCCCGGAATTCCCAAATCCCAAAAATCCCCAAAATCCCAAATCCCAGAATTCCCAAATCCCAAAAATCCCCCGATCCCGGAATTCCCAAATCCCAAAAATCCCAAATCCCGGAATTCCCAAATCCCAAAATTCCCCAAAATCCCAAAAATCCCTAATCCCAAAAATCCCCCGATCCCGGAATTCCCAAATCCCAAAAATCCCAAAAATCCCCCGATCCCGGAATTCCCAAATCCCAAAAATCCCTAATCCCAAAAATCCCCCGATCCCGGAATTCCCAAATCCCCAAAATTCCACAATCCTGGAATTCCTGATCCCAGAATCCCCAAATCCCAGAAATCCCAAGTCCCGGAATTCCCCATCCCAAAAATTCCTGGGAATTCCTGATCCTGAAATTCCTGATCCCGGAATTCCCAAAATTCCCTATCCCAAAAATTCCTGGGAATTCCCAATCCCAGAATTCTCAAATCCCAAAAATTCCCATGTCCCGCAATTCCCAAATCCCAGAATTCCCCATCCCAAAAATTCCTGGGAATTCCCAATCCTGAAATTCCTGATCCCGGAATTCCCAAATCCCGGAATTCCCAAATCTCAAAAATTCCCCAATCCCGGAATTCACAAATCCCAAAATTCGGGAATTTTGGAAAAATCTGGGGGAGGAATGGGAATTTTGGGAAAATCCTAGAAAAAATCTGGGAAAAATCCTGGAATTTTGGGAAAAATCTGGGGGGAAAATGGAATTTTTGGGGGGAAAATCCCCGAATCCTGGGAATTTTGGGAATATTTTGGGAATGTTTTGGGAATGTTTTGGGAATATTTTGGGAATGTTTTGGGAATATTTTGGGAATTTTGGGAACATTTTGAGAATATTTTGGGAAATGTTTTGGGAATGTTTTGGGAATATTTTGGGAATGTTTTGGGAATATTTTGGGAACGTTTTGGGAATATTTTGGGGAATATTTTGGGAATGTTTTGGGAATATTTTGGGAATATTTGGGAAATATTTTGGGAATGTTTTGGGAATATTTTGGGAATATTGTGGGAATATTTTGGGAATATTTTGGGAATGTTTTGGGAATATTTGGGGAATATTTTGGGGATGTTTTGGGAATATTTTGGGAGTATTTTGGGAATATTTTGGGAATATTTTGGGAATATTTTGGGAATATTTGGGGAATTTTGGGAATATTTGGGCAATATTTGGGGAATATTTTGGGGATGTTTTGGGAATATTTTGGGAGTATTTTGGGAATGTTTTGGGAATGTTTTGGGAATATTTTGGGAATATTTGGGAAATATTTTGGGGATGTTTTGGGAATATTTGGGGAATATTTGGGGAATTTTGGGAATATTTGGGCAATATTTGGGGAATATTTTGGGAATGTTTTGGGAATATTTTGGGAATATTTTGGGAGTATTTTGGGAATGTTTTGGGAATATTTTGGGAATATTTTGGGAATTTTGGGAATATTTTGGGAATATTTTGGGAATCTTTTGGGAATCTTTTGGGAATATTTTGGGGATATTTTGGGAATATTTGGGAATTCCCGCAGGCCGGCGGAGCTGAACCGGATCCTGCTGGAATGGCTGCGGGAGCTGCCCCCGGAGCCGCTGCCGGGAAATTCCAAACTCTGAGCACAATTCCCGAATTTCCGGGAATTTTCCCAGGAATTCCGACTTTTCCGGGAGAATTTGTTCCAGGAATTTCAGTTCTTGTGTGGGAATTTTTTCCAAGAATTTTTCCCAGGAATTTCAAATTTTTAGGGGGAATTTTCCCTGGAATTCCAAGTTTTCTGGGAGAATTTGTTCCAGGAATTTCAACTTTTTTTGTGGGAATTTTTTCCAGGAATTTCAATTTTATTTTGTGGGAATTTTTTCCAATAATTTTCAAAGGAATTTCAATATTTTTTGGGGGAATTTTTCCAGGGAATTCCAAAATTATCCAGGAATTTTCCTGGGAATTCCAACTTTGCTGGGAGAATTTTCCCAGGAATTTCCATTTTTTGTGGGAATTTTTTCCAAGAATTTCAATTTTTTTGTGGGAATTTTTTCCAGGAATTTCAATTCTTGTGTGGGAATTTTTTTCCCAAGAATTTTTCCAAGGAATTTCAAAATTTTAATGGGAATTTTTCCCGGGAATTCCGACCTTTCCAGGAGAATTTGTTCCAGGAATTTCGATTTTTTGGGGGGAATTTTTTCCAAGAATTTTCCCAAGGAATTTCAAATTTTTGGGGGGAATTTTCCCCTGGAATTCCAACTTTTTAATGGGAATTTTTCCCGGGAATTTCAACTTTTCCAGGAGAATTTTTCCAGGAATTTCAATTCTTGTGTGGGAATGTTTTTCTAAGAATTTTCCCAAGGAATTCCAATTCTTTTGTGGGAATTTTTTCCAAGAATTTTTCCCAGGATTTTAGAATTTTTTATGGGAATTTTTCCTGGGAATTCCATGTTTTTTGTGGGAATTTTTCCAGGAATTTCATTTATTTTGTGGGATCTTTTTTCCAGGAATTTCAATTCTTTTGTGGGAATTTTTTCCAAGGATTTTTCCCAGGAATTTCAAATTTTTAATGGGAATTCTTCCCGGGAATTCCAAGTTTTCTGTGGGAATTTTTCCAGGGAATTTCAAATTTTTGATGGGAATTTTTTCCAGGGAATTCCAATTTTTTGCAGGAATTTTTCCTGAGAATTCTGAGCTTTTCTTTGGAATTTTTTTCCCCAGGAATTCCAAACTCTGAGTGGAATTCCAGAATTTTCCAGGAATTTTCCCCGGGAATTCCAACTTTTCCAGGAGAATTTTTCCAGGAATTTCAAATCTTTTTTTGTGGGAATTTTTTCCAGAAATTTCGATTTTTTTTTTTGTGGGAATTTTTTCCAAGAAATTTTCCAAGGAATTTCAAATTTTTTGGTGAATTTTTCCCTGGAATTTTCCAGGGAAGTTTTCTGTGGGAATTTTTCCCAGTAATTTCAACTTTTTTCTGGGACTTTTTCCTGGAAATTCCAATTTTTTTCTGGGAATGTTTCCTGAGAATTCCAATTTTTTCTGGGAATTTTTCCTAGGATTTTTCCCAGGAATTTTAGTGGGGTTTTTTTGCAGGAATTTTTCCCTGGAATTCCAACCTCTGAGTGGGAATTTTTCCAAGAATTTTTCCCAGGAATTTTGATTTATTTTTGCAGAATTTTCCAGAGAATTCCAAATTCTGCGATGGAATTTACAGAATTTTCTGGGAATTTTCCCCAGGAATTCCAAGTTTTCTGCAGGAATTTTTCCCTGGAATTTTTTCCCTGGAATTCCAAGCTCTGAGTGGGAATTTTTTCTGGGAATTTTAATTTTTATTTACAGGAATTTTCCCGAGGAATTCCCTTTTTTTTTTCAGGATTTTTTCCAGGGATTTTTTTCCTGGAATTCCAATTTTTTTCAGGAATTTTTCCCGGGAATTTTTCCCGGGAATTCCGATTTTTTGGTGGGAATTTTTCCCGGCAATTCCCGCTCCTGATCCCGGCGAATCCGGGAAGTTTCGGTGGATTAATCAATAACCAATAACCGCTCCTGAACTCACTCATCAATAATCAATAATCAATCATCAATAATCAATCATTGATGGTTTTCCTCAATCAGCTGCCGCTGTCAAAGATGGAAAAATAAAATTTGGGATTTTCCAGCGATTTCCGTCTCCTTCGAATCCTTCGGAGCCTGAGGCCAAAAAATTCCCAAAAATCCCCAAAAATTCCCAAAACATCCCCCAAAAATTCCCCCAAAAATTCCCCAAAAATTCTCAAAAAAAATCCCCAAAAATTCCTGGAAAAATTCCCACAGAATTCCCCAAATAATTCCTGAAAAATAAAAAAAAATCCCAAAAAATTCACAACAAATCCACAACAAATCCCAAAAAACCAAAACAAAATTCACAAAAAATTACCCCAAAGGTTCCACCTAAATATCCCAAAAAATTCCCACAGAATTCCCAATAACTCCCAAAAATTACCAAAAAAATGCCCCAAAAATTCCCAAAGAATTCCTTAAATAATTCCAAAAAAAATCCCCCAAATTCCCCAACAATTCCCAAAGAATTCCCCAAAGAATTCCCAAAAAATTAAAAAAAAATTCCCCAAAAATGCCCCAAAAACTCCCAAAAATGCTCCAAAAATTCCCACAGAATTCCCCCCCAAAAATTCCCAGAAAATTCCCCCAGAATTCCCCAAAGAATTCCCAATAAATCCCCCCCAAAATCTCCCAGAATTCCCCAAAAAATCCCAAAAAACCAAAACAAAATTCACCAAAAATTTCCCCAAATTTCCCCCAAAAGTTCCCCCGAAATATCCCAAAAAATTCCCGCAGAATTCTCAATAAATCCCAAAAATTCCCAAAAAAAAGCCCCAAAAATCCCCCCAAAATTTCCCAAAGATTTTCTCTAAAAATCTCCAAAAAATTCCCAAAGAATTCCCAAAAAAATCCCAAAAAAATCCCAAAAAATAAAAAATCCAAAAAAAATCTCAAAAAAAAATCCCCAAAAATTCCCGGAAAATTCCTACAGAATTCCCCAAAGAATTCCCAATAAATCCCAAAAATTCCCCAAAAAAATCCTCAAAATGCCCCCCAAAATTCCTGAATAATTCCTCAAATAATTCCCCAAAAAACCCCAAAAAATCTTAAAAATAAATAAAAATTCTCCAAAAAAAAGCCCAAAAATTCCCCAAAGAATTCCCAATAAATCCCAAAAAATTCCCCCAAAAAACCCTAAAAAATCCACAATAATTCCTCCCCCAAAAAATCCTGAAAAATTCCCCAAAAAGTCCCTGAAAATTCCCACAGTATTCCCAAAAAAATCCCAAAAAAATTTTTTAAATCCCCAAAAATTCTCAAAAAAAACCCCCAAAAATTCCCACAGAATTTCCCAAAGATTTCCCCAATAAATCCCAAAAATTCCCCAAAAATCTCCAATAATTCCCCAATAATTCCAAAAATTCCCCCAAAAATTATGGGATTTTTGAAAAAATCTGGGAATTTTTGGGAAAACCTGGGAAAAATTTTGGGAATTTTTGGGATTTGGGGATTTTTGGGATTTTGGGGAATTTTGGGATTTGGATTTGGGAATTTGGGGATTTTGGTGATTTGGGATTTTTGGGGTTTGGGGAATTTTGGGGTTTCGGATTTTTGGGATTTGCAATTTGGGAATTTTGGGGGTTTTGGGGGTTTTGGGATTTTGTTTTTTTGGGATTTGGGAATTTTGGGAATTTTTGGGAATTGGGGATTTGGGAATTCTTGGAATTTGGGATTTTTGAGGATTTTTGGGAAGTTTTGGGAATTTCTGGGGTTTGGGATTTTTTTGGGATTTGGGTTTGGGAATTTGAAATTTGGGGGAATTTTGGGATTTAGGAATTTTTGGGAATTTGGGGTTTTAGGATTTGGGGATTTTTGGGGTTCAGGAATTCGGGGAATTTTTGGGTTTTGGGAAATTTTTGGGATTTTGGAAACTTTTGGGATTCGGGGTTTGGGAATTTTGGGGATTTGGGGCAAATTTGGGGAAATTTGGGAATTTTTGGGATTTGGAATTTTTGGGATTTGGGAATTGCGAATTTGGGTTTGGGAATTTTGTGTATTTTGGGGTTTGGGATTTGGGAATTTGGAATTTTTGGGATTCGGGATTTGGGATTAAGAATAGGGAATTTGGTATTGGGAATTTTGGGAATTTTGGGAATTTTGGGAATTTGGGGATTTTGGAATTCGGGATTTTGAGGATTTTTGGGTTTGGGGTGTTTGGGAATTTGGGATTTTGAGAATTTGGGAATTTTGGGGATTTTGGATTTTTTGGGATTTGCAAATTTGGGGAATTTTTGGGATTTGGGTTTGGGAATTGAGAATTTTGGGGATTTGGGGAATTCGGGATTTTTGGGATTTGGGATTTTTTTGGGATTTTTGGGATTTGGGATTTTTTTGGATTTTTTGATTTCCAGGATTTGGAATTTTGGGATTTGGGAATTTTTTTTTGAATTGGGCTTCCGGACTTTGGGCTTTGGGACTTTTTTGGGATTTTTTGGGATTCGGGATTGGGAATTCCCGGGATTTGGGGTTGGGAAATTTCCGGGAATTTGGCCCCGCCCCCCGTTAATGGATAATCCTGAGGAATTTTGGGAATTTTTCCCGAACTTTGGCCTCTCCCGGGGCCGATCCCGAGCCCGGAATTCCCGGAGACGATCCCGGAGATTTTTCAGGATCAGGAACAACCCAAAGGTCAAAAATCTTTGGGAAAAAAAAATCAAAAAAATTCCCAATAAAACCAAAAATATCCCCAAAAAATTCCCAAAAATTCCCAAAAGAATTCCCAAAAAAATTCCCCCAAATTCCCAAAGAATTTCCCAAAGAATTCCCAAATAATTCCCAATAAATAAAAAATAAATCTCAAAAAAATTCCACAAAAATTCCCCAAAAATTCTTCTTAAATTCCCCAAGAATTCCCAAAAAAAATCCTCAAAATCCCCAAAACATCCCCCAAAATTCATAAAAAATTCCCAAAAATTCCTCCTAAAAAATCCCCCAAAATCCCCAAAAAATTTCGAAAAAATTCTCCAAAAACATCCCCCAAAAAATCCAAAAAAATTCCCCAAAAATTCCCCAAAATTCCTCCAAAATCCCCCAAAAAATTCCCAAAAAGCCACCAAAAATTCCCAAAAAATCCACAAAAATTCCCCAAGAATTCAAAAAAAAATGCCAAAAAATTCCAAAAAAATTCCCTGAAAATTCCTCATAAATTCCCCAAGAATTCCCAAAAAATTCCCCAGAAAAATCTTAAAAATCCCAAAAACTTCCCCCAAAAACTCCCAAAGAATTCCTGAAGGATTCCCCAAAAATTCCCAATAAATCCCAAAAAATTCCTCCCCAAAAAAAATCCCAAAAATCCCCCAAAAGCCCCAAAATATTCAAAAATAATTGCCCCAAAATTCCTGAAGAATTCCCCAAACAATTCCCCAAAAATCCCCAAAAAAACTCCCAAAAAATCCTCCCAAAATCTCCAAAAATCCCTCCAAAATAATTGCCAAAAAATTCCCAAAAAAATCTGAAAAAATCCTCAAAATATTCCCCAAAAAAAAAAAAAAAAATTCCTAAAAAAATCCAACAAAAATTCTCCAAATATTCCTCAAATATTCCCCAAAAATTCCCAAGGAATTCCCAAAAATTCCCCCAAATATCCCCATTTTCCTCCCATTTTTCCAGGAATTCTGACCCAAAACCCCCAAAATCTCTGGAATTCTTTCCCAAATTTTCCCAAACATTTTTCCCATTTTTTTCCAAAATTCTCCCAATTTTTCCAGGATTTCCCCCCCACAACCCCCAAAATCTCCGGAATTCTTTCCCAATTCTTCAAATTTTCGCCTTTTATTCCCTATTTTTTCTCAATTATTCCAAATTTTTCGGGTTTTTTTCTCAAATTCTCCCCATTTTTTCCCAATTTTTCCCCAATTTCCCCCAAATTTTCCCAATTTCCCCCAATTTCCCCGGAATTTTTCCCCATTTCCCAGCAATCCCCACCCAAAAAAAACCCCAAAATTTGGGAATTTTTTCCCATTTCCCCCAAAATTTTCTGGAATTCCCCCCCAGAATCCCCAAAACATCTGGAATTCTTTCCCAATTTTCCAAATTTTTCCCAATTTTTCCTAAATTTTTTCCCTAATTTTTCCCTTTTTTTTTCCAAAATTTTCCAAATTTTTCCAGGAATTCCCACCCAGAACCCCCAAAATCTCTGGAATTCTTTCCCAATTTTCCCAATTTTTCCCAATTTTCCCTGATTTTTCCCATTTTTTTCCAAAATTTTCCCATTTTTCCAGGAATTCCCACCGAAAATCCCCAAAATCTCCAGAATTTTTCCCAATTCTCCAAATTTCCCCCCATTTCCCCCCCTTTTTTTCTCAAATTTTCCCCAATTTTTTGGGTTTTTTTTTCCCAAATTTCCCCCATTTTTTCCCATTTTTCCAAATTTTTGGGGTTTTTTCCCCAATTTTTTCCTGGAATTTTTCCCTCTTTCCCCTTCCCCCATTTCCCAGCAATCCCCACCCAAAAAAAAAAAAAAAAATCGGGAATTTTTTCCTTTATTTCCCCATGTTTTTCCCCCAATTTTTCCAGGAATTTCCTCTCAGAATCCCCAAAATTTGGGAATTTTTTCCCAATTTTCCAAATTTCCCCCCATTTTTCCTCCATTTTCCCCAATTTTTCTCAATTTTTTCCCATTTTTTCCCCATTTTTCCCATTTTTCCAACTTTCCCCAATTTTCCCCAATTTTCCCCAATTTTCCCCAATTTTCCCCAATTTTTCCCAATTTTTTCCCTAATTTTCCCCATTTTTTTCCAAAATTTTCCCAATTTTCCAGGAATTCCCACCCCCAACCCCCAAAATCTCTGGAATTCTTTCCCAATTTTCCAATTTTTTCCCAATTTTCCTCCATTTTATCTTTATTTTCCCCAATTTTCCCCATTTTTTTCCTGTATTTTCCCCAATTTTCCCATATTTTCCCCAATTTTTTCGCAATTTTTCCCATATTTTCCCCATTTTTCCCAAATTTTCCCAATTTTCCCGGATTTTTCCCCATTTCCCCGCAATCCCACCCCAAAACCCCCCAAAATTCGGGAATTTTTCCCCATTTTCCCGACCCTTCCCCATTCCCGGTTCCGCTCCGCCTTTTCCAGCCACCCTTTGGAATTTCGCAATTCCCAAAAAAAACCAAAAAAACCCAAAATCTCTTCCCGGTTTTTTTTTTTTTCGGGAATTCCGCGGCCGCCGCGACCTCCGAGCCCAAAAAAACCCCAAAAAATCCCCAAAAAAGCCCCAAAATTCCCGGAAATTCCCCCAAAATCCTGGCGGGAAGAGGCTCCAGCATGGTAAGGGAATTTTGGGGAATTTTTTTGGGAATTTTTTGGGAATTTGGGGAAAATTCCCGGAAAATCCGACCCCGCCCCCACCCCCGGGAGGTTTCGGCCGCTCCAAAGGTTGAAAATTCCCCAATTTTGGGGGTTTTGGGGATTTTTTTGTGGGAATTTTGTGAATTTTGGGAATTTTGGGGGTTTGGGATTTTGGGGATTTTGGGATCTGGGAATTTGGGAATCCCAAAAGTGAAAATTCCCGGGAAAAGGTGGAAAAATTCCGAATTTTGGGGGGTTTTTTTTGATTTTTTTTCCATTTTGGGGGATTTTTTTCGCGGTTTTGGGGGGGAGTTTTCGGGGTTTTTTGGGTTTTGGGGAATTTGGGGGGTTTGGGAATTTTGGGGATTTTGGGATTTGGGAATTTGGGAATTTGGGAATCTCCAAAAGTGAAAATTCCCGGGAAAAGATGGGAAAATTCCGAATTTTGGGGGTTTTTTAGATTTTTTTGCCATTTTGGGGACATTTTTTTGGTGGGAATTTTGGGGTTTTTCGGGAATTTTGCGAATTTTGGGGGTTTGGGATTTTGAGGATTTTCAGATTTGGGAATTTGGGAATCCCAAAGGGGAAAATTGCCGGGAAAAGGTGGAAAAATTCCGAATTTTGGGGATTTTTCCGGGGTTTTTTGGGGGGGGGTTTTCCAGTCTTTTGGGGGGATTTTTGGGAATTTTGGGGGTTTGGGATTTTTGGGATTTTTGGGGATTTTTGGGAATCCTCAAAGCGAAAATTCCCAGAAAATCCGACCCCGCCCCCACCCCCGGGAGGTTTCGGCCGATCCAAAGGTTGAAAATTCCCCAATTTTGGGGTTTTTTAGGGTTTTTTTGGGGTTTTTTGGGGGGGGATTTTTTGGAATTTTGGGGGTTTGGGATTTTGGGATTTGGGAATTTGGGAATCCCAAAAGCGAAAATTCCCGGGAAAAGGTGGGAAAATTCCGAATTTTTGGGGTTTTTTTGGATTTTTTCCCATTTTTTGGGATTTTTTTTCCGTTTTTGGGGCAATTTTTTTGGTGGGTATTTTTGGGGTTTTCGGGAATTTTGGGGGTTTGGGATTTTGGGAATCACGAAGGGGAAAATTCCCGGGAAAAAGGTGGAAAAATTCCGAATTTTTTGGATTTTTTCGGGTTTTTGTGGGATTTTTCCCGGTTTTGGGGGGGATTTTTGGGAATTTTGGGGGTTTGAGAATTTTGGGGTTTGGGGATTTTGGGATTTGGGAATTTGGGAATTCCAAAAGCGAAAATTCCCTGGAAAAGGTTGAAAAATTCCGAATTTTGGGGGGTTTTTTTGAATTTTTTTCCATTTTTGGGGTTTTTTTTGCCATTTTTGGGACAATTTTTTTTGGTGAATTTTGGGGTTTTCGGGATTTTTGGGAATTTTGGGGGGTTGGGATTTTGGGGATTTTGGGATTTGGGAATCCCAAAAGGGAAAATTCCCGGGAAAAGATGGAAAAATTCCGAATTTTGGGGTTTTTTTAGTTTTTTTTGCCATTTTGGGGACATTTTTTTGGTGGGAATTTTGGGGTTTTTCGGGAATTTTGAGAATTTTGGGGGTTTGGGATTTTGAGGATTTTCAGATTTGGGAATTTGGGAATCCCAAAGGGGAAAATTCCCGGGAAAAGGTGGAAAAATCAGAATTTTTGGGATTTTTCCGGGTTATTTTGGGAGGATTTTGGGGATTTTTTTCGCGGTTTTGGGGGGATTTGGGGGAATTTTGGGAATTTTGGGAGTTTGGAGATTTGGGAGTTTGGGAATCCCAAAAGCGAAAATTCCCGGGAAAAGGTGGAAAAATTCCGAATTTTTGGGATTTTTTCGGGTTTTTTGGGGGGGATTTTGGGGATTTTTTTCCCATTTTTTGGGTGATTTTTGGGGAATTTTGGGGGTTCGGGATTTGGGAATTTGGGAATCCCAAAAGTGAAAATTCCTGGAAAAAAAGTTGAAAATTCCCGAATTTTTGGGTTTTTTTTGGATTTTTTTCCCCCAATTTTTTAGGAATTTTTCCTCTTTTTTGGGGGGATTTTTGGCTTTTAGGGATTTGGGGGTTTGGGGATTTTGGGATTTGGGAATTTGGGAATCCTAAAAGGGAAAATTCCCGGGAAAATGTGGAAAAATTCCTGAATTTTGGGGGGGGTTTGGGGTTTTTTCCCCAAATTTTTAGGATTTTTTCCCTCTTTTTTTGGGATTTTTGGCTTTTAGGGATTTGGGGGTTTGGGATTTTTGGGATTTTTTGGGATTTTTGGGAACCCCCAAAGCGAAAATTCCCGGAAAATCCGACCCCGCCCCCACCCCCGGGAGGTTTCGGCCGCTCCAAAGGTTGAAAATTCCCCAATTTTGGGGGGATTTTGGGGGTTTTGGGGGTTTTTTTGGTGGAAATTTTGTGAATTTTGGGAATTTTGGGGGTTGGGGATTTGGGGGATTTTGGGATTTGGGAATTTGGGAATCCCCAAAGCGAAAATTCCCGGGAAAAGATGGAAAAATTCCGAATTTTGGGGGTTTTTTAGATTTTTTTGCCATTTTTGGGGCATTTTTTTGGTGGGAATTTTGGGGTTTTTCGGGATTTTTGGGAATTTTGGCTGTTTGGGTCCTTTGGGGATTTTGGGATTTGGGAATTTGGGAATCACGAAGGGAAAAATTCCAAGGAAAAGGTGGAAAAAATCCGAATTTTTGGGATTTTTCCGGGGTTTTTTTTGGGGGGGATTTTGGGGATTTTTTCCCGTTTTGGGGGGGATTTTTGGGAATTTTGGGGATTTTGGGGATTTTGGGATTTGGGAATTTGGGAATCCCGAGGGGGAAAATTCCCGGGAAAAGGTGGGAAAATTCCCGAATTTTGGGGATTTTTTCGGGTTTTTTGGGGGAATTTTCCCATTTTTGGGGGATTTTTGGGAATTTTGGGGGTTTGGGATTTTGGGGATTTTGGGATTTGGGAATCCCGAAAGGGAAAATTCCCGGGAAAAGGTGGGAAAATTCCGAATTTTGGGGATTTTTCCGTGTCTTTTGGGGGGAATTTTTCAGGTTTTTTGGGGGGATTCTTGGGATTTTTGGGAATTTTGGAGGTAAGGGAATTTTGGGATTTTTGGGAATCCCCAAAGCGAAAATTCCCGGAAAATCCAACCCCGCCCCCACCCCCGGGAGGTTTCGGCCGCTCCAAAGGTTGAAAATTCCCCAATTTTTGGGATTTTTCGGGATTTTTGGGGATTTTGGGGGTTCGGGATTTTGGGATTTGGGAATTTGGGAATCCCAAAAGGGAAAATTCCCGGGAAAAGGTGGGAAAATTCTGAATTTTGGGGGTTTTTTTGGATTTTTTTACTTTTTTTGCTGTTTTTAGGGGAATTTTTTCAGAGTATTTTGGGGGATTTTTTGGGTTTTGGGGATTTTGGGAATTTGGAAATTTTTGGGAAGGCCAAAAGCGAAAATTCCCGGGAAAAGCTGAAAATTCCCAAATTTTGGGGTTTTTTTGGATTTTTTTTTTTTTTTTTTGCCGTTTTTGGGGGGAGGGGATTTTTGAGGGATTTTTTGGGATTTTGGAGGATTTTTGGGGATTCTGTGGGGATTTTGGGATTTGGGGGAATTTGGGGTTTTGGAGTTTGGGGGGTTCAGGAATTTGGGAGATTTGGGATGTGCAAATTTTGGGATTTGGAATTTTGGGGATTTGCGATTTTTGGGAATTTCGGATTTGGGATTTTTTGGAATTTGGGATTTTGGGGAGTTGGGATTTGGGGATTTTGGAATTTTTCGAATTTGGGAATTTTATGAATTTGAAATTTGGGAATTTTTGGCTACTGGGGATTCTAGGAGTTTGGGATTTGGGGCGATCCCAAACCCCAAACCCCAAATCCCAAACCCCAAACCCCAAATCCCAAACCCCAAACCCCAAACCCCAAACCCCAAACCCCAAATCCCAAATCCCAAATCCCAAACCCCAAACCCCAAACCCCAAACCCCAAACCCCAAACCCCAAATCCCAAACCCCAAACCCCAAACCCCCCCAAACCCCAAATCCCAAATCCCAAACCCCAAACCCCAAACCCCAAACCCCAAACCCCAAACCCCAAACCCCAAACCCCAAACCCCAAACCCCAAATCCCAAACCCCAAACCCCAAACCCCAAACCCCAAATCCCAAACCCCAAACCCCAAACCCCAAATCCCAAATCCCAAACCCCAAATCCCAAACCCAAACCCCAAACCCCAAACCCCAAACCCCAAACCCCAAACCCCAAATCCCAAACCCAAACCCCAAACCCCAAATCCCAAACCCCAAACCCCAAACCCCAAACCCCAAACCCCAAACCCCAAACCCCAAACCCCAAATCCCAAATCCCAAACCCCAAACCCCAAACCCCAAATCCCAAATCCCAAACCCCAAATCCCAAACCCCAAATCCCAAATCCCAAACCCCAAATCCCAAATCCCAAATCCCAAATCCCAAACCCCAAACCCCAAACTCCAAACCCCAAATCCCGTTCCAGCCCCGCGGGCACCCCGGGGTGCTGTTCCGGAACTGGGCGGGCACCCATGGGTGCTGCCCCGAGCTCTTCTTCCAGCCGGGATCGCTCCAGGAGATCCGACAGGTGACAAATCCCGGAAAAACGGGAATGCTGGGAATTCCGGGGGGGAAATCCGGGAATTCTGGGGGGAAATCTGGGAATTCCAGGGGGGAAATCCAGGAATTCTGAGGGAAATCCGGGAATTCTGGGGGGGAATTTCCGAGGGGTTTTGGGGAATTCCCGGGAGGGTTTTGGGGGGAATTCCCAGAATTCAAGGGGGCAATTCCCGAGGGGGTTTGGGGGGAATTCCCAAATTCTGGGTGGGAATTCCCGAGGGGGGTTTGGGGCAATTCCCGAGGGGGTTTTGGGGGGAATTCCCGAGGGGTTTTGGGGGGGAATTCCCGGAACTCCAGGGGTAATTCCCAAGGGGTTTGGGGGAATTCCCGGAATTCTGGGGGGGAATTCCCGTGGGGGTTTTGGCGGAAATTCCCGGAATTCCGGGGGGGAATTCCCGAGGGGTTTTTGGGGAATTCCCGGAATTCCAAGGGGGAATTCCGGAGGGTTTCGGGGGCGAATTCCTGAGGGGGTTTTGGGGGAATTCCCGACGGGTTCGGGGGGAATTCCTGAGGAGTTTTGGGGGAAATTCCCGGAATTCCATGGGGAATTCCCGAGGGGGTTTGGGGAATTCCTGAGGGGTTTTTGGGGGGAATTACCAGAACTCTGGGGGGAAATCCGGGAATTCTGGGGGGGAATCTGGGAATTCCGGGGGGGAAATCTGGGAATTCCGGGGGGAAATCTGGGAATTATGAGTGGAAATATGGGAATTCCGGGGTGGAAATCTGGGAATTCTAAGGGGGGAAATCTGGGAATTCTGGAGGGGAATCCGGGAATTCTGGGGGGAAATTTCTGAGGGGTTTCGGGGGAATTCCCGGAATTTTGGGGGCAATTCCCGTGGGGTTTTGGGGGGAATTATTGGAATTCCGGGGGGGAATTCCTGAGGGGTTTTTGGGGGAGTTCTTGGAATTCCATGAGGAATTCCCGAGGGGTCCATGGGGGGAATTCCCGGAATTCCAGGGGGGGAATTCCCGTGGGGTTTTGGGGGGATTCCCAGAATTTTGGGGGGAAATTCCTGAGGGGTTCTCGGGGAGAATTCCCAAAATTCCAGGGGGCAATTCCCAAGGGGGTTTTGGGGAATTCCGGGAATTCTGGGGGGAAATCCAGGAATTCCGGGGGGAAATCTGGGAATTCTGGGGGGAAATCCGGGAATAATGGGGGGAAATGTGGGAATTCTGGGGGGGAATCCGGGAATTCCAGGGGGAAATCTGGGAATTCTGGCGGGAAATCCAGGAATTCCAGGGGGGAAATCCGGGAATTCTGGGGAGGAAATCCTGGAATTCTGGGGGGAAATCTGGGAATTCCGGGGGGAAATCTGGGATTTCTGAGGGGGGAAATCTGGGAATTATGGGGGGAAATCCGGGGGAAAATCCGGGAATGCCAGGGGGAATTCCTGATGGGGGTTTTGGGGGGAATTCCCGATGGTTTTGGGATGGTTCCCAGATTTTCAGGCCCATTTTTCTGGCACATTTCCAATATTTCGGGAATTTTTTTTGGGATAATTCCAATATTTCGGGATATTTTTTTGAGATAATTCCCAATATTTTGGGCTGTTTTTTTTTGGCTAATTCCCAATATTTTGGGATGATTTTTTTTGAGCTAATTCCCATATTTCGGGATGGTTTTTTTGGGCTAATTCCCAATATTTTGGGATGGTTTTTTTTGGGCTAATTCCAATATTTCGGGATATTTTTTTGGGCTAATTCCCAATATTTCAGGATGGTTTTTTTGAGCTAATTCCCATATTTCGGGCTGGTTTTTTTGGGATAATTCCAATATTTTGGGATTTTTTTGGGGGCTAATTCCAACATTTCAGGATTTTTTTTTAGCTAATTCCCATATTTCGGGCTGCTTTTGGGCTAATTCCCGTTTTTCCGCAGATCCTGGCGCTGGCGCGGCAGCGCGGGAAGCGCGTGAAGGTGGTCGGGGGCGGCCACTCCCCGTCGGACATCGCCTGCTCCGACGGCTTCATGATCCACATGGGCAAAATGAACCGCGTCCTGCAGGTCAGCGCCCCAAAAATCCCCAAAAAACCCAAAAATCAAAAAAAAAAGGGAAAAAATAGGTAAAAATTCACCCCAAAAATCAAAAAAAAAAGTGAAGAAATCGGTTAAAAAATCGCCCAAAAAATTTTAAAAAAGGGAAAAAATCAGTAACAATTTACCCAAAAAATTAAAAAAAAAAAAAAAGTGAAGAAATCGGTAAAATTTCACCCCAAAAATAAAAAAAAAAAAGTGAAAAAATCGGTAAAAATTCACCCCAAAAATCAAAAAAAAAAAAGTGAAAAAATCGGTAACAATTTGCCCAAAAAATTTTTAAAAAGTGAAAAACTTGGTAAAAATTCACCCCAAAAAGTAAAAAAAAAAAAAGTGAAGAAATCGGTAAAAAATCACCCCAAAAATCAAAAAAAAACCACGAAGAAATTGGTAAAAATTCACCCAACAAATTAAAAAAAAAGGCAAAGAAATCGGTAAAAATTCACCCCAAAAATAATTAAAAAAAACCCAGCAAAAATTGGAAAAATATCCCAGAAAATCCCCCCAGAAAATGAAAAAAATTCCTCCATAGAATCACCCAAATATCACCAAAAATCCCACCAAGAAATAAAAAAAAATTCACAAAATTCCACAAAAATCAACAACAAAAGAATTCACTAAAAAATCATCCCAAAAAATCAACAAAAAATTCACAATAATGAACCACGTGCTGCAGGTCAGCGCCCCAAAAATCCCCAAAAAACCCAAAAATCAAAAAAAAAGTGAAAAAAATCGGTAAAAATTTGCCCAAGAAATTAAAAAAAAAGTGGAAAAATCGGTAAAAATTCACCCTAAAAATTAAAAAAAACCAGCAAAAATTGGGAAAATATCCCAGAAAATCCCCCCAGAAAATAAAAAAATTCCCCCAGAAAAAGCACCAAAATCACCCCCAAATCCCCCGAAAATTACCCCCAAATCAACAAAACTGTCCCCCAAAAATCACAAAAAAAAACTCAAAAATGCCACCAAAATCACCAAAATTTCCCAAAAAATTCACAACAAATTTGCCTCCCCAAAATCACCAAAAATCACCAAAAATTCTCCCCAAAAATCCACAAGAATTGCCCCCAAAAATCACCAAAAAAATCCTAAAATTTCCTAAAATTTCCCAAAAGAAACCCATGAATCCGCAAAAATTCCCCAAAAATTCCCGAAAATTCTCCAAAATTGCCCAAAATTCCCAAATTTGTGCAGGTGGACAAGGAGAAGCTGCAGTTGACGGTGGGAAAAGATCCCAAAAAATCAATTTAAAAACCTTGGAAAAAAAAAAAAAATTCAAAAAAAATCCCCCAAAATTCCCAAAGAATCCCCAAAATTCCCAAAAAAGTCCCCAAAATTCCCCAAAATCCCAAAAATTCCCGAATTGGGGCAGGTGGACGAGGAGAAGCTGCAGGTGACGGTGGGAAAGGATCCCAAAAACTCAATTTAAAAACCTTCAAAAATCCCCCAAAAATTCCCCAAATATCCCACAGAATTCCCAAAATTTCACAAAAAGTCCCCCAAAAAATCCCAAAAAATCCTCAAAATCCCAAAAATTCCCAAAAAGTCCCAAATTTGGGCACGTGGACAAGGAGAAGCTGCAGTTGACACTGGGAAAAAAATCTAAAAAAACCCTTCAAAAATCCAAAAAAAATTCCCAAAAAAACCCCATGAATCTGCAAAAAATCCCCCAAAATTCCTAAAAATTCCCAAAAAATCCCCAAAAATTCCCCCAAAATTCCCAAAAATTCAAAAAAATTCCCAAATTTGGACAGGTGGATGAGGAGAAGCTGCAGGTGACGGTGCGAAAAATCACCAAAAATCCCCCCAAAAATTCCCAAAAAATGCCCAAAAAATCCTGCAAAATTCCCAAAAAACCCCCCAAAACTCCCAAAAATTAAAAAAAAATTCTCAAAAATTCCTAAAAATGCAAAATTATTCCCAAACAATCCAAAAAAATTTGGAATTTTGGCCGGTAGACAAGGAAAAGCTGCAGGTGACGGTGGGAAAAAATTTGAAAAAAAACCTTCAAAAAATCCCAAAAATTCCTAAAAAGTCCCCCAAAATCCCCAAAAATTCCCCAAAAAAATCTCAAAAATTCCTAAAATTTTCCAAAATTGGGGAATTTTGTCAGGTGGACGAGGAGAAGCTGCAGGTGACGGTGGAGGGCGGAATTCTCCTCTCGGAGCTGCACCGGGAGCTCGACAAACACGGGATGGCCCTGGGGAAGTGAGCGGGGCTGTTTTGGGGTTTTTTGGGGGTTTTTTGGGGTTTTTGGGGTGTTTGGGGTTTGGGATTTGGGGTTTGGGGTTTGGGGTTTGGGATTTGGGGTTTGGGGTTTGGGATTTGGGGTTTGGGATTTGGGGTTTGGGATTTGGGGTTTGGGATTTGGGGTTTGGGGTTTGGGGTTGGGGTTTGGGGTTTGGGATTTGGGATTTGGGGTTTGGGGTTTGGGGTTTGGGGTTTGGGGTTTGGGGTTTGGGGTTTGGGGTTTGGGATTTGGGGTTTGGGATTTGGGATTTGGGGTTTGGGGTTTGGGGTTTGGGGTTTGGGGTTTGGGGTTTGGGGTTTGGGATTTGGGGTTTGGGGTTTGGGGTTTGGGATTTGGGATTTGGGGTTTGGGATTTGGGGTTTGGGATTTGGGGTTTGGGATTTGGGATTTGGGGTTTGGGGTTTGGGGTTTGGGGTTTGGGGTTTGGGGTTTGGGGTTTGGGGTTTGGGGTTTGGGATTTGGGGTTTGGGATTTGGGGTTTGGGATTTGGGATTTGGGGTTTGGGGTTTGGGGTTTGGGGTTTGGGGTTTGGGGTTTGGGGTTTGGGATTTGGGGTTTGGGGTTTGGGGTTTGGGATTTGGGATTTGGGGTTTGGGGTTTGGGGTTTGGGATTTGGGATTTGGGGTTTGGGATTTGGGGTTTGGGGTTTGGGATTTGGGGTTTGGGGTTTGGGGTTTGGGGTTTGGGATTTGGGATTTGGGAATTTTGGGGATTTGGGATTTCAGATTTTGGATCTGGGATTTGGGATTTGGGATTTTTGGGATTTGGGATTGGGATTTGGGGTTTGGGGTTCGGGGTTTGGGATTTGGGATCAGGATTGGGAATGGGATTGGGATTGGATTTAGGATTTGGGATCCAGGTGGGATCGGGATCAGGAATGGGATGGGATTGGGGTTGGGACAGGAACTGGGATTTGGGATCAGGATTGGGATTGGGATTCGGGATTGGGATTTTGGATTTGGGATTTTTGGGATCTGGGGTTGGATTTGGGATCGGGATCGGCTCCGGGCCCAGATCCCACTTTGGGAATTCTCATCCCGAATTTCCCCGCCCAGTTTAGGCGCCGTGTCCGAGGTGACGGCGGCCGGAGTCATCGGCACCGGGACCCACAACACCGGGATCCAGCACGGCATCCTGCCCACACAGGTGGAAATCCGGGAATTTCAGGAATTCCGGGAATTTCGGGAATCCAGACATGAGCCCATTCCAAATCCACCCAAAATTTCCCTAAAATCCCAAAAAAACCCCAAAAAACCCCAAAAAATCCAAAAAAATTTAAAAAAATCCCAAAAAATCCCAAAAAAACCCCAGACCAGCGGCATCCGGCACGGCATCCTGCCCGCCCAGGTGGAATTCCAGGAATTCTGGGAATTCCGGGAATTTCGGGAATCCAGACATGACCCCATTCCAAATCCACCCAAAATTTCCCTAAAATACCGCAAAAAACCAAAAAAAATCCCCAAAATCCCAAAAAATCCCAAAAAATCCCAAAAAATCCCAAAAAATCCCAAAAAATCCCAAAAAATCCCCAAAAATAAAAAAAATCCCTTGACCAGCGGGATCTGGCGGCATCCTGCCCGCCCAGGTGGAATTCCGGGAATTCTGGAAAGTCTGGGAATTTTGGGAATTTCCAGAATCAAGACATGACCCCGTTCTAAATGCACCCCAAAAAATCCCAAAAATCCCCCAAAAAATCCCAAAATATCCCAAAAAAACCCAGATCAGCGGCATCCGGCACAGCATCCTGCCCACACAGGTGGAATTCCGGGAATTCCGGGAATTTCGGGAATCCAGACATGACCCCATGCCAAATCCACACAAAAAATCCCAAAAATCCCCAAAAAATCCCCAAAAAATTCCAAAAAATCCCAAAAAATCCCAAAAAACCCCAGGCCAGCGGCATCCGGCACAGCATCCTGCCCACCCAGGTGCAATTCCGGGAATTCCGGGAATTTCGGGAATCCAGACATGACCCCATTCCAAATCCACCCAAAATTTCCCAAAAATCCCAAAAAAACCCCAAAAAAATCCCCAGAAATCCCAAAAAATCCCCAAAAAAACCCCACTCCAGTGGGATCCAAGATGGCATCCTGCCCACCCAGGTGGAATTCCGGGAATTCCGGGAAATCCAGGAATTTTGGGAATTTCCAGAATCCAGACATGACCCCGTTCCAAATCCACCCAAAATTTCCCAAAAAACCCCCAAAAAATCCCCCAAAAAATCCCAAAAATCCCCCAAAATCCCAAAAAATCCCAAAAAAACCCCAGACCAGCGGGATCTGGCACGGCATCCTGCCCACCCAGGTGGAATTCTGGGAATTCTGGCAATTCTGGGAATTTCAGGAATCCAGACACGCCCCCTGCTTCTAAATCCACCCAAAAAAATCCCAAAAATCCCCAAAAATCCCCAAAAAACCCCAGACCAGCGGGATCCAGCACGGCATCCTGCCCACCCAGGTGGAATTCCGGGAATTCCGGGAATTTCAGGAATCCAGACATGACCCCATTCCAAATCCACCCAAAATTTCCCTAAAATCCGAAAAAAGCAAAAAAAATCCCAAAAAATCCCCCAAAAAACCCCAAAATCCCCAAGAAAACCCCACACCAGCGGGATCCGGCACAGCATCCTGCCCGCCCCGGTGGAATTCCAGGAATTCTGGGAATTTTAGGAATTTTGGGAATTTCAGGAATCCAGACACGCCCCCTGCTTCTAAATCCACCCAAAAAAATCCCAAAAATCAAAAAAAAATCCAAAAAACTCCAAAAAAACCCCAGACCAGCAGCATCTGACACGGCATCCTGCCCGCCCAGGTGGAAATCCGGGAATTTCGGGAATTTCAGGAATCCAGACATGACCCAATTCCAAATCCACCCAAAATTTCCCTAAAATCCAAAAAAACCCCCAAAAAATCCCCAGAAATCGCAAAAAATACCAAAAAATCCCCCCAAAAACCCCAGACCAGCGGGATCCGGCACGGCATCCTGCCCACCCAGGTGGAATCCCGGGAATCCCGGGAATTCCGGGAATTCTGGGAATTTTGGGAATTTCGGGAATCCAGAAACACTCCCTGCATCTAAATCCACCCCCAAAAAATCCCAAAATTCAAAAAAAATCCCCAAAAATCCCAAAAAAATCCCAAAAAATCCTCCCAAAACCCCCACACCAGCGGGATCCGGCACGGCATCCTGCCCACCCAGGTGGAATTCCGGGAATTTCAGGAATTACGGGAATTTTGGGAATTTCAGGAATCCAGACACACCCCCTGCATCTAAATCCACCCCAAAAAAATCCCAAAAATCCCCAAAAAATCCAAAATATCCCCCAAAAACCCCACAACACCGGGATCAGCCACGGCATCCTGCCCACACAGGTGGAATTCCGGGCATTCCGGGAATTCTGGGAATTTTGGGAATTTTGGGAATCCAGACGCGCCCCCTGCTTCTAAATCCACCCCAAAAAATCCCCAAAAATCCCAAAATATCCCAAAATATCCTAAAAAACCCCCAGACCAGCAGCAGCCGGCACAGCATCCTGCATACCCAGATGGAAATCCGGGAATTCCGGGAATTTCGGGAATCCAGACACGGCCCTCACTTCTAAATCCACCCCAAAAAAATCCCCAAAATCCCCCAAAAGTCTCAAAAAGAAACCCCACAAAAAATCTCAAAAAATCCCAAAAAGTCAGTGAAAGTACCCCAAAACACCCCAAAAAAATCCAAAAAAAATCCTGTCAAAAATCCTTAAAAAAATCTTTAAAAATCCCAAAAAATCACCAAAAAATCCCCCAAAAAAACCCCAAAATCCCCCCATATACTAAAAAAAAAATCCCCAAAAGATTCTCATAAAATTCTCAAAAAATCCCAAAATCCCCCCAAAGAAATCCAAAAACTTCCAGCAAAAGAACCCCAAAAATCCATAAAAAGTCCCCAAAAAATCCACAAAAAGCTGCAAAAAATCCCCCAATAAAATCCTTGAAAAATCTTTAAAAATTCCAAGAAATCACCAAAAAAATCTCAAAAAATACCCCAAAAAATCCAAAAATCCTTAAAGAAATTCCAAAAAATCCACAAGAAAATCCCAAAAAATCCATAAAAAATCCGAAAAAATCCACCAAAAAACCCCCCACAAAAACCTCCTTAAAAACCCTGAAAAATCTCAAAACATCCCAAGAAAGTCCCAAGAAAGTCCTTTAAAAAATCCACCAAAGTCCCCCAAAATGGTGAAAAAAATCCAAAAAAAATTCTCAAAAAATCCACAATAAAATCCCCCCAAAGATCCCAAAAAAGTCCTTAAAAATCCTCCAGAAATCCGTTAAAAATCCCCCAAAACAGTGAAAAAAAAATTTATCAAAAAAATCCCCAAAAATATCCAGAAAAATCTCCAAAAAAATCCCCAAAAAATTTCTAAAAAGCCGATGCCAATAGTTCCGGTGACGACAGTTCCGGTTCCGGTGCCGCTGGTTCCGGTTCCGGTGCCGGTGATTCCGGTTCCGGTTCCGCTGGTTCCGGTTCCGGTTGTGACAATGGTTCCTGTTCCGGTGCCGCTGGTTCCGTTTCCGCTGACGAGAGTTCCGGTTCCGGTTCCGGTGCCGATGATTCCGGTTCCAATGCCACAGGATCCGTTTCTGGTGCCGATGGTTCCAGTTCCTGTTCCGGTTCCGGTTGAGGGTCCGGTTCCGGTTCCGGTGCCGCTGGTTCCGGTTCCAATGGTTCCGGTTCCGGTTCCGGTGCCGATGTTGAGGCCCAAGGCTGCCCCCGAGCGCCCAAAAACCCCAAGTTCCCCAAAATCTGCCAAAGACCCAAAAGAATCTCCCCAAAAAATCACCAAAAAATCCTCGAAAAGCCTCAAAAAATCACCAACCAAAATATATTCCGAAAAAATCACCAAAAAATTATCCAAAAATGCCAAAAAATCCCTAAAAAATTCTCAAAAAATCACCGAAAAATTCTCAAAAAAACCCAAAAAATCACGAAAAAATTCCAAAAAATCGCCAAAAAATTCACAAAAAATGCCAAAAAAATCTCAAAAAAATTCTCAAAAAATCACCAAAAAATTCTCCAAAAATGCCAAAAAATCGCCAAAAAATTCCAAAAAGATCACCGAAAAATTCTGAAAAAATGCCAAAAAATCACCAAAAAATTCCCGAAAATCACCAAAAAATTCCAAAAAAATGCCAAAAAATCACGAAATTTCCCAAAAAATCACCAAAAAATTCTCCAAAAATGCCAAAAAATCCCAAAAAAATTCTCAAAAAATGCCAAAAAATCACCAAAAAATTCCCCAAAAAATCACGAAAAAATTCTCAAAAAATGCCAAAAAATCACAAAAAATTTCCCCAAAAATCACCAAAAAATTCTCAAAAATTGCCAAAAAATCATAAAAAAATTCCCAAAAAATGACCAACAAATTCTCCAAAAATGCCAAAAAATCCCAAAAAAATTCTCAAAAAATCACCAAAAAATTCTCAAAAAACCCCAAAAAATCACCAAAAAAGTCTCAAAAAATCACCAAAAAATTCTCAAAAAATGCCAAAAAATCCCCAAAAAATCCTCAAAAAATCGCCAAAAAATTCTCAAAAAATGCCAAAAAATCACCAAAAAATTCCCAAAAAATCACCAAAAAATTCCCCAAAACCCAAAAAATATCCGAAATAACCCCCAAATTCCCCATTTTTTGCCCAGGTGGTGGCGCTGTCGCTGCTGTTGGCGTCGGGGCGGGTTCTGCGCTGCTCGGCCGATGGTTCCGGTTCCATTTCCGGCGGTTCCGGTTCCGTTTCCGTTTCCGGCGGTGCCGATGACGCCGATGATGCTGATGATGATGAAGATGATGACGATGATGATGTCGGTGTGAGCGAGGCCGAGGGCCGGGCGCTGTTCGGGGCGGCGCGGCTGCACCTGGGCGCTCTGGGGGTGGTGCTGAGCGTCACCTTCCAGTGCGTGCCCAAGTTCCGCCTGCGCGAGGTCGCCTTCCCCTCCACACTCACGCAGGTACGGGAATGCGACGGAATTCCGGGGGAAACATGGAATTTTATCGGGAATTTTGTCAGGAATTTGCACCAAAATACAGAAAAATTTTCCCAAATTTTCCCAAGATTTATGTGAGGAATTTCATCGAGAATCAGGAAAAAACTGTCAGAATTTCCTCAGGAATAGGGAAAAAATTCCTGGAATTTTCTGGAATTTTCCTGGGAATTTTGTCAGGGATTTCCTCCGGAATCCTGTAAAAAGTTCCACAAATTTTCTGGAATTTTCCTGAGAATTTTGTGTGGAATTTCCTTGAGAATCAGGAAAAAAAGGCCTAAATTTCCTCAGGAATGCTGGGAAAATTCCTGAAATTTTCTGGAATTTTCCTGAGAATTTTGTGAGGAATTTCATCAAGAATGAGGAAAAAACTGTCGGAATTTCCTCAGGAATGGGGAAAAAAATCCTGGAATTTTCTGGAATTTTCCTGGGAATTTTGTCAGGGATTCCCTCCGGAATGCCAGAAAAATTCCTGAAATTTTTTGGAATTTTTCTGAGAATTTTGTGAGGAATTTCATCGAGAATCAGGAAAAAAAGACCTAAATTTGCTGAGGAATTGGGGAAAAATTCCTGAAATTTCCTGGAATTTTCTTGGAAATTTTGTGAGTAAATTCTTCGAGAATCAGGAAAAAACTGTCAGAATTTCCTCAGGAATGGGGGAAAAATTCCTGAAATTTTCTGGAACTTTCCTGAGGTTTTGTCAGGGATTTCATCAAGAATCAGGAAGAAACTGCCCAAATTTGCTCAGGAATGCCAGAAAAATTCCTGAAATTTTCTGGAATTTTCCCAAGAATTTTGTCAGGAATTTCCTCAGGAATCGGGAAAAAACTCTGGGAATTTCCTCAGGAATGGGGGAAAAATTCCCTGGAATTCCTGCCTGGAATTTCCTTGGGAAGGAGGGAAAATTCCAGCCAGAATTGACGGAATTTTAGCTGGGATTTTGGGGGGAAACCACGGAATTTTGGCGGGAATCTTGGCGGGAATTTGTGCCAAAATACAGGAAAATTGGGGAGATTTTCCCAAATTTTCCCAAGATTTATGTGAGGAATTTCATTGGGAATCAGGAAAAAAATGCCCAAATTTGCTCAGGAATGCCGCAAAAATTCCTGGAACTTTCTGGAATTTTCCTGGGGATTTTGTCACGGATTTCCTCCGGAATGCCAGAAAAATTCCTGAAAATTTTTTTAATTTTCCTGAGAATTTTGTGAGGAATTTCATCGAGAATCAGGAAAAAAAGGCCCAAATTTGCTCAGGAATGCCGGAAAAATTCCTGAAATTTTCTGGAATTTTCCTGGGATTTTGTCAGGGATTTCCTCAGGAATCGGAAAAAACTCTGGGAATTTCCTCAGGAATGGGGGAAAAAATCCTGGAATTCCTGTCTGGAATTTCCTTGGCAATGGGAAAAAGTTCCCAGAATTTCCTCAGGAATGGGGGGAAATTTTCCAGAATGTTCTGGAATTTTCTTGGGAATTTTCTCAGGAATCAGGAAAAAACTGGGAATTCTTGCTCAGAATTTCCTCAGGAATGAGGAAAAAAATCCTGGAATTTTCCTGAGAATGAGGAAAAAACTTCCGGGAATTCCCACTCAGAATTTCCTCAGGAATGGGGAAAAATTCCTGGAATTCCTGCTTGGAATTTCCTCAGGAATTGGGGAAAATTGGTGGAATTTTCTCAGGAATTTCCTCAGGAATCAGGAAAGAGCTCTCACCATTCCCTCAGGAATGGTGGGAAAATTCCAGGAATTTTTGGGAATTTTCTCAGGAATTTTCTCAGGAATTTCCTCGGGAATCAGGGAAAAACTGACGGAATTTCCTGAGGAAAGGGGTAAAAATGGTGGAATTTTCTGGAATTTTCCTGAGAATTTTCTCAGGAATTTCATTGGGAATGAAGGAAAAAAAATCCCAGAACTTCCTGAGGAATGCGGGAAAAAATACCGGAATTTTCTCGGGAATTTTCTCAGGAATTTTATCGGCAAGCCAGAAAAAACACTGGGAATTTCCTTGGGAATCAGGAAAAAATTCCTGGAATTTTCTGGACTTTTCTTGGCAATTTTCTCAGGAATTTTATTTGGATTCAGGGAAAAACTCCGGGAATTTCCTCAGGAATGCAGAGAAATATACCAGGAATTTTCTGGAATATTCCTGGCAATTTTCTCAGGAATTTTATCGGGAATCAGGGAAAAATTCCTGGAATTTCCCAGGGAATGAGGGGGGAAACTCTGGGAATTCCTGCCGGGAATTTCCCTGGGAATGAGGGAAAATTCCTGGAATTTCCACTCGGGATTTTCTTGGGAATGTGAGAAAAATTCCCAGAATTTTCTTGGGAATGAGGGAAAAAACTCTGGGAATTTCCTCAGGAATGTGGGGAAAAATTCCTGGGAATTTTCCTGGGAATTTTTCCTGGATATCCTTTTTTGGGAATAATTTCTGGGAATATTTCCAGGGAATTTTTCCTGGAAATTTTTTCCTGGGAATAATTTTTGGGAATGATTTCCTGGATATCTTTTCTGGGAATAATTTCCTGGCATTAATTCCTGGGAATTGTTTCTTGGAATAATTTCTGGGAATTATTTTTGGGCGAATAATTTCTGGGAATTTTTTCTGGGAAAAATTCCTCGGAATAATTTCCTGGGAATTTTTTTCCTGAGAATATTTCCTGGGAATAATTTCCAGGAATTTTTTTCTGGGAATAGTTTTCTGGGAATATTTCCTGGGATTTTTTTTTTTTGGGGAATAATTCCTGGGAATTTTTTCTGGGTTAAATTCCTGGGAATAATTTTCTGGGAAATTTTTCTGTGAATTTTTCGGGAATATTTTCTGGGAAAATTTTCCCGGGAATTTTTTCCTGAGAATATTTCCTGGGTATAATTCCTGGGAATAATTTCCTGGGAGTATTTTTGTGGGAATAATTCCTATTTTAACTTTTTTGGGAATATTTTCCAGGAATAATTTCCTGGGAATATTTCCCGGGAATATTTCCAGGGAATATTTATTAGGCATTTTTTTTGAGGATTATTTTCTGGGAATAATTCCTGGGAATAATTTTTGGGGGGTGAATAATTTCCTGGGAATTTTTTTCCAGGATTTTTTCTGGGAATCATTTCCTGGGAATTTTTTCTGGGAATTTTTTCCAGGTGCTGGATCAGCTGGAGGAGCACCTGCAGAATTCCCAATTTTTCCGCTTCCTGTGGTTCCCGCACACGGAGAACGTTCGGATCATCTACCAGGACCCCACCGCCCAGGCACGGATCCCAAAATCCCCAAAATCCCCAAAATTCCCACAATTCCCAGGTCCCGGAACTCCAGGGAGGGATTTTGGGTTGGTAATTCTGGGAATTTGGGAATGGGCTCCGGGAATCCCTGAAATTCCCTAAAATCACGTGAAATTCCCTAAATTCCATAAGGAAAAAGTCCCTAAAATTTCATTAAATCCCTGGAAAAAATCCTGAAATCCCTAAGAAAAAATCCCTAAAATTCCCTGGAAAATATCCCTGAAAAAAATTCCCTGAAATTCCCTAAAATCCCATAAAATTCCCCAAAATCCCTAAAATTCCATAAGATTCTTTAAAATCCCTGGAAAAATCCCTGAAAAAAAAAAATCCTGAAGAAATCCTAGAAATTCCCTAAAATCCCTAAGAAAAAAATCCCTAAAATTCCATAAAATCCCTGAAAAAATCCCTGAAACAATCCCTGAAATACCAAAAATATATCCCTGAGATTACCTAAAATCCCATAAAATTCCCTAAAATCCCTAAGAAAAATTCCCTAAAATCCCTGAAAAAATTCCCTAAAATCCGTGAAAAAATCCCTGAAAAAAATTCCCTGAAGTTCCCTAAAATCCCGTAAATTTCCCTAAAACCTCTAAGAAAAAAAAATCCCTAAAATTCCATAAAAGTCCTGAAAAAAATCCCTGAAGGACCAAAAGAATCCTTGAAATTCCAAAAAAAAAAAAAAATCCCTAAAATCCCTGAAAAAATTCCCAAAAATCCCTAAGGAAAAATCCCTGAAATTCCCTAAAATGCCTGGAAAATATCCCTGAAAAAATCCCTAAAATCCCTGAAAAAATTCCTTAAAATCCCTAAGAAACTTCCCTAAAATTGCTGAAAATTCCCTAAAATCCCTGAAAAAATTCCCTAAAATCCCTGAAAAAATTTCCCTAAAATCCCTGAAAAAATTCCCTAAAATCCCTAAGAAAAATCCCTGAAATTCCCTAAACTCCCTAAAATCCCTAAAAAAATTCCCTAAAATCCCTGAAAAAAAATTCCCTAAAATCCCTGGCAAATATCCCTGAAAAAATCCCTAAAATTTCAAAAAAAATCCCTAAAATCCCTGGAAAAATCCCTGAAGTACCCAAAATTTCCCTAAAATCCCTGAAAAAAATTCCCTAAAATCTCCCAAAAAATTCCCAAAAATCCCTAAGAAAAAATCCCTGAAATTCCCTAAAATGCCTGGAAAATATCCCTGAAAAATTCCCTAAAATTAAAAAAAAATCCATAAAATCCCTGAAAAATTTCCCTAAAATCCCCAAAAAAATTCCCTGAAATCCCTGAAAAAAATCCCTTAAACCAATCCCAGAAATCCCAAAAATTCCCTAAAAATCCCTGAAAAAATCCCAGAAATACCCAAAAAAATTCCCTAAAATCCCTAAAAAATTCCCTAAAACATGTAAGAAAAAATCCCTAAAATCCCTAAAATCCCACAAAACTTCCCGGAATTCCCGAAATTTTGGATTCCAGGCTCCGCGCTCCTCGTCCAGCTGGTTCTGGGATTACGCGGTGGGATATCACCTCCTGCAGTTCCTGCTCTGGCTCAGGTACGGGATCGGGATTGGGATTTGGGGTTTGGGGTTTGGGGTTTGGGATTTGGGGTTTGGGGTTTGGGATTTGGGATTTGGGGTTTGGGGTTTGGGATTTGGGATTTGGGGTTTGGGGTTTGGGGTTTGGGGTTTGGGGTTTGGGGGATTTGGGGTTTGGGGTTTGGGGTTTGGGGTTTGGGGTTTGGGGGATTTGGGATTTGGGGTTTGGGGTTTGGGGTTTGGGATTTGGGGTTTGGGGTTTGGGGTTTGGGGTTTGGGGTTTGGGATTTGGGGTTTGGGATTTGGGATGTGGGATTCGAATTTCAGATGGGATCGGGATTTGGGATTGGGATTTGGGATTTGGGATTGGGATGGGATTGGGGTCAGGATTGGGATAGGGACCAGGATCAGGATTGGGACCAGGATTAGGATGGAATCAGGATCAGGACAGGGATCAGGATCAGGATTGGGATTGGGGTGGGATCGGGATTGGAATCAGGATCAGAATTGGGATTGGGATTGGGATTTGGGTTTGGAATGGAATGGGGATGGGGATGGGATCAGGATCAGGATCAGGATCTGGATTGGGATCGGGGTCAGGACTGGGGATTGGGATCAGGATTGGGATGGGATCGAGATCAGCATCGGGGTTGGAATCAGGATCAGGATTCACATCTGGATCGGGATTCGGATCAGGATCGGGATTGAGATTGGGATCAGGATCAGGATCAGGATCAGGATCAGGATCAGGATTGGGATGGGATTGGGATTGGCGATCAGGATCAGGATCAGGATTGGGATGGGATCAGGATTAGGATGGGATCGGGATTGGGAGGGGATCGGGATCGGGATGGGATCGGGATCAGGCTCATCGCGGAACGTGACAGGATACCCTTTCCATGACAATCCCACCCCAACATTCCAAGAATTCCATTCCCTTTCCCATCCGTTTCCGCTCCCTTCCCTTTCCTGGTTGGGATGGGAATTCCGGCTGAATTCCCGACTTTTCCCGGCAGCACCTTCTTCCCCAGGCTGGTGGTTTGGATCAACCGGATTTACTTCCGGCTGCTCTTCAGCTCCCGCACGGAAAACGTCGACCAGAGCCACCGGATCTTCAACTACGAGTGTCGCTTCCGGCAGCACGTCCAGGACTGGGCCATCCCCATGTAATTCCCGAATTTCCGGTCCTTTCCTTGGGAATTCCCATGGGAATTCCCAGATCCCAGTCCAGGACTGGGCCATCCCCATGTAATTCCCGAATTTCCAGTCCTTTCCATTGGGAATTCCCAGATCCCAGTCCAGGACTGGGCCATCCCCATGTAATTCCCAAATTCCCGGTCCTTTCCTTGGGAATTCCCATGGGAATTCTCAGATCCCAGTCCAGGACTGGGCCATCCCCATGGAATTCCCAAATTTCCGGTCCTTTCCATTGGGAATTCCCAGATCTCAGTCCATTCCCAAGTAATTCCTGGATTCCAGTCTAGGACTGAGACATTCCCATGTAATTCCCGAATTCCCGGTCCTTTCCATTGGGAATTCCCATGGGAATTCATTATCCCAGTCCAGGGATTGGCCATTCCCATGGAATTCCCAAATTTCTGGCCCTTTCCTTGGGAATTCCCATGGGAATTCCCGCATCTCGGTCCAGGACTGGACCATTCCCACATAATTCCCAAATTTCCAGCCCTTTCCATAGGGAACTCCCAGATCCCGGTCCAGGACTGGGCCATCCCCATGGAATTCCCAATTTCCCGGTCCTTTCCATTGGAAATTCCCAGATTTCAGTCCAGGGATTGGCCATCCCCATGGAATTCCCAAATTCCCGGCCCCTTCCCATGGGAATTCATTATCCCAGTCCAGGACTGGGCCATCCTCATGGAATTCCCGAATTCCAGGGCCTTTCCATTGAGAATTCCCAGATTTCAGTCCAGGGATTGGCTGTTCCCATGTGATTCCCAAATTCCCGGCCCTTCACGTGGGAATTCCCATGGGAATTCCCGGATCTTGGTCCAGGACTGGGCCATCCCCATGGAATTCCCAAATTCCAGGTCCTTTCCATGGGAATTCCCAGATCCCAGTCCAGGACTGGGCCATCCCCATGGAATTCCCAAATTCCCGGCCCTTCCCTTGGGAATTCCCATGGGAATTCATGATCCCAGTCCAGGGATTGGCCATCCCTATGGAATTCCTGAATTCCCGACCCTTCCTATGGGAATTCCCATTGGAATTCTCAGATCCCAGTCCAGGACTGGGCCATTCCCATGGAATTCCTGAATTCCCGACCCTTCCTATGGGTATTCCCAGATCCCAGTCCAGGGATTGGCCATCCCAATGGAATTCCCGAATTCCCGAATTCCGGGTCCTTTCCATTGGGAATTCCCATGGGAATTCATGATCCCGGTCCAGGACTGGGCCATCCCCATGGAATTCCCGAATTCTGGGTCCTTTCCATTGGGAATTCCCAGATCTCAGTCCAGGGATTGGCTGTCCCCATGGAATTCCCGAATTCCAGGTCCTTTCCATTGGGAATTCCCAGATCCCGCTCCAGGGATTGGCCGTCCCCATGGAATTCCTGAATTCCCGGCCCTTCCCTTGGGAATTCCCATGGGAATTCATGATCCCAGTCCAGGACTGGGCCATTCCCATGGAATTCTCAAATTCCCAGTCCTTTCCATTGGGAATTCCCAGATTTCAGTCCAGGGATTGGCCATCCCCATGGAATTCCTGAATTCCCGGCCCTTCCCTTAGGAATTCCCAGATCCCGGTCCAGCAATGGGCCATCCCCATGGAATTCCCAAATCCCAAACCCAGGATCCCAAGCCCTCGGGAAGAACATTCCAGAACATTCCTGGGAATTCCCTCAGATAGAAATCCCTGCAGATCCCAATCCCAGGATCCCCAATCCATGGGAAGAACATTCCAGAACATTCCCGGGAATTCCCTGGACATGGAGATCCCAATCCCGGGATCCCAAACCCTCGGGAAGCGCATCCCGGAGGATTCCCGGGAATTTCCTGGACATGGCGATCCCAATCCCGGGATCCCAAACCCATGGGAAGAACATTCCAGAACATTCCTGGGAATTCCCTGGGATAGAAATCCCTGCAGATCCCAACCCCAGGATCCCAAACCCACGGGAAGCACATCATGGAAAATTCCCAGGAATTCCCTGGGCCTGGAGATCCCAATCCCGGGATCCCAAACCCTCGGGAAGAACATTCCAGAACATTCCTGGGAATTCCCTGGACACGGAGATTCCTGCAGATCCCAATCCTGGGATCCCAAATCCTGGATCTGTGTGATCCCATGGGAAGAACATTCCAGAACATTCCTGGGAATTCCCTGGACACGGAGATCCCAACCCTGGGATCCCAAACCCTCGGGAAGAACATTCCTGGGAATTCCCGGGACATGGCGATCCCAACCCCGGGATCCCAAACCCTCGGGAAGAAGATCCCGGAGGATTCCCGGGAATTCCCTGGACACGGAGATCCCAATCCCAAGATCCCGAATCCATGGGAAGCCCATCCCGGAACATTCCCGGGAATTCCCTTGGATAGAAATTCCTGCAGATCCCAATCCCTGGAACCCAAACCCAAGGGAAGCACATCCCGGAAAATTCCCGGGAATTCCCTGGACATGGAGATCCCAACCCCAGGATCCCAAACCCACGGGTAGAACATTCCAGAACATTCCTGGGAATTCCCTGGGATAGAAATCCCTGCAGATCCCAATTCCAGGATCCCCAATCCATGGGAAGAACATTCCTGGGAATTCCCTGGGCATGGAGATCCCAATCCCGGGATCCCAAACCCACGGGAAAAACATTCCAGAACATTCCCGGGAATTCCCTGGTCATGGAGATCCCAATCCTGGGATCCCAAACCCACGGGAAGAACATTCCAGAACATTCCTGGGAATTCCCTGGACTTGGAGATCCCAATCCCAGGATCCCAAATCCATGGGAAGAACATTCCAGAACATTCCCGGGAATTCCCTTTGATAGAAATCCCTGCAGATCCCGATCCTATTCCAAATCCTGGATCTGTGTGATCCCATGGGAAGAACATTCCAGAACATTCCTGAGAATTCCCTGGGCATGGCGATCTCAACCCCGGGATCCCAAACCCACAGGAAGAACATTCCAGAACATTCCCGGGAATTCCCTTGGATAGAAATCCCTGCAGATCCCAACCCCGGGATCCCAAACCCACAGGAAGAACATTCCAGAACATTCCTGGGAATTCCCTGGACATGGCAATCCCAATCCCGGGATCCCAAACCCTCGGGAAGAACATTCCAGAACATTCCCGGGAATTCACTGGGCCCGGAGATTCCTGCAGATCCCAATCCCGGGATCCCAAATCCACGGGAAGAACATTCCAGAACATTCCTGGGAATTCCCTCAGATAGAATTCCCTGCAGATCCCAATCCCATTCCAAATCCTGGATCTATGTGATCCCATGGGAAAAACATTCCAGAACATTCCCGGGAATTCCCTCGGATAGAAATCCCCACAGATCCCAATCCCGGGATCCCAAACCCTCGGGAAGAACATTCCAGAACATTCACAGGAATTCCCTGGACATGGAGATCCCAATCCCAGGATCCCCAATCCATGGGAAGAACATTCCAGAACATTCCTTGGAATTCCCTGGGCCTGGCGATCGCAATCCTGGGATCCCAAACCCACGGGAAGAACATTCCAGAACATTCCTGGGAATTCCCTGGGATGAAGATCCCAATCCCGGGATCCCAAATCCTGGATCCGTGTGATCCCATGGGAAAAACATTCCAGAAGATTCCCGGGAATTCCCTGGGCCTGGAGATCCCAATCCCGGGATCCCAAACCCACGGGAAGAACATTCCAGAACATTCACAGGAATTCCCTGGACATGGAGATCCCAATCCCAGGATCCCCAATCCATGGGAAGAACATTCCAGAACATTCCCGAGAATTCCGTGGGCTTGGAGATCCCAATCCCAGGATCCCAAATCCATGGGAAGAACATTCCAGAACATTCCCGGGAATTCCCTTTGATAGAAATCCCTGCAGATCCCAATCCCGGGATCCCAAATCCTGGATCCATGTGGTCCCATGGGAAAAACATTCCAGAAGATTCCCGGGAATTCCCTGAGCATGGCGATCCCAATCCCGGGATCCCAAACCCACAGGAAGAACATTCCAGAACATTCCTGGGAATTCCCTCGGATAGAAATTCCTGCAGATCCCAATCCTGGGATCCCAAACCCACGGGAAGAACATTCCAGAACATTCCCGGGAATTCCCTTGGATAGAAATCCCTGCAGATCCCAATTCCAGGATCCCAAATCCATGGGAAGAACATTCCAGAACATTCCTGGAAATTCCCTGGATATGGCGATCCCGTTCCCGGGATCCCAAATCCTGGATCCGTGTGGTCCCATGGGAAGAACATTCCAGAACATTCTTGGGAATTCCCTCAGATAGAATTCCCTGCAGATCCCAATCCCGGGATCCCCAATCCATAGGAAGAACATTCCAGAACATTCCTGGGAATTCCCTGGGCCCGGAGATTCCTGCAGATCCCAATCCCATTCCAAATCCTGGATCCGTGTGATCCTGTGGGAAAAACATTCCAGAACATTCCTGGGAATTCCCTTAGATAGAAATCATTGCAGATCCCAATCCCGGGATCCCAAACCCACGGGAAGAACATTCCAGAACATTCACAGGAATTCCCTGGACATGGCGATCCCAATCCTGGGATCCCAAATCCTGGATCCGTGTGATCCCATGGGAAAAACATTCCAGAACATTCCTGGGAATTCCCTGTAATAGAAATCCCTGCAGATCCCAATCCCGGGATCCCAAATCCACGGGAAGAACATTCCAGAACATTCCTGGGAATTCCCTGGGATCCCAATCCCGGGGATCCCAAACCCACGGGTAGAACATTCCAGAACATTCCTGGGAATTCCCTTAGATAGAAATCCCTGCAGATCCCAATTCCAGGATCCCCAAACCCATGGGAAAAACATTCCTGGGAATTCCCTGAGCATGGCGATCCCAATCCCGGGATCCCAAACCCACAGGAAGAACATTCCAGAACATTCCTGGGAATTCCCTTTGATAGAAATCCCTGCAGATCCCAATCCTATTCCAAATCCTGGATCTGTGTGATCCTATGGGAAGAACATCCCAGAACATTCCTGGGAATTCCCTGAACATGGAGATCCCAATCCCGGGATCCCAAACCGTTGGGAAGAAGATTCCCGGGAATTCCCCGGGGTGACCGGGATCCGTTTCCGGCGCAGTGGGAAGACGCGGGAGGCGCTGCTGGAGCTGAAGGCGGAGCTGGATCGCAATCCCGGGATCGGGGCGCACTTCCCGGTGGAGATCCGCTTCTGCCGGCGGGACGAGATCCCGCTGAGCCCCTGCTTCCGGCGGGACAGCTGCTACATCAACGTCCTCATGTACCGGTGAGATCCCAAATTCCCGAATCCGCGGGAACGTCCCCGACGGGAATATTTCCATGGGGTCCCTGCAGATCCCGATCCTGGGAATCCTGAATCCATGGGAACGTTCCCACCAGGAATATTTCCATGAAAATCCTTCTAGATCCCAATCCCGGGATCCCAAATCCATGGGAATCCATGGGAACATTCCCACCAGGAATATTTCCATGGGATCCCTTCAGATCCCGATCCAAGGATCCCAAATCCAGGGGAATCCCCAATCCATGGGAATCCATGGGAATCTCGAATCCATGGGAACATTCCCGCCGGGAATATTTCCATGGGATCCCTGCAGGTCCCGATCCCAAATCCCTGGGAATGTTCCCACTGGGAATATTTCCATGGGATCCCTGCAGATCCTGATCCTGGAATCCCAAATCCATGGGAATTTCTGGGAATCCTGAATCCATGGGAACATTCCCACCACTGGGAATATTTCCATGGGATCCCTGCAGATCCCGATCCCAGGACCCCAAATCTATGGGAATCCATGGGAAACGCCAATCCATGGGAATCCCCAGGAATCTCTAGTCCATGGGAATATTCCCACCGGGAATATTTCCATGGGATTCCTGCAGATCCCAATTCTGGGAATCCGGAATCCATGGGAATGTTCCCACCGGGAATATTTCCATGGGATCCGTCCAGATCCCAAATCCATGGGGACTCCATTCCCACTGGGAATATTTCCATGGGATCCCTGCAGGTCCCGATCCCGAGATCCCAAATCCATGGGAAGACGAGACACGATTCCTGCTGGGAATATTTCCACGGGATCCCTCCAGATCCTGATCCCAGGATCCCAAATCCAGGGCAATCCCCAATCCTTGGGAACAACCCCGCCGGGAATATTTCCATGGGATCCCTGCAGATCCCGATCCTGGGAATACCAAATCCACGGGAACGTTCCCACTGGGAATATTTCCTTGGGGTCCCTGCACGTCCCGAATCCTGGAATTCCCAGCATTCCCAGAATGCCTGGAATTCCTGGAATTTCCAGGGTCAGATCCCAGATCCCGAATCCCGGCATTCTGGGAATTCCAGGGGCGGACTCCTGGTGCGGGGCCACTCCCTGATGCCGGAATTCCGGGAATTCCCGGAGTCGGATCCCGGGGTCGGATCCCAGTCCAATCCCAGATCCCAAATCCCAGAATTCCTGGCATTCCTGGCATTCCCAGCATTCCTGGAATTCCCGTGGTCGGATCCCAGATCCCAAATCCTGAATCCCGGAATTCCCCGAATTCCCAGCATTCCCAGAATTCCCGTGGGCGGATCCCAGTCCAATCCCAGATCCCGAATCCCAGAATTCCCGGCATTCCTGGCATTCCCAGCATTCCTGGAATTCCTGTGAGCAGATCCCAGATCCCAAATCCCAGAATTCCCAGGGTCGGATCCCAAATCCCAAATTCTGGAATTCCCCAAATTCCCGGCATTCCGGGAATTCGCGTGGTCAGATCCCAGTCCAATCCCGGGACCGAAATCTCAGAATTCCCGTGGTCAGATCCCAAATCCTGAATCCTGGAATTCCCCAAATTCCTGGAATTCCCAGAATTCCTGTGGTTGGATCCCAAATCCCAAATCTCAGAATTCCCAGAATTCCCATGGGCAGATCCCAGTCCAATCCCGGGTCCTAAATCCCGGAATTCGTGTGGTCAGATCCTGAATCCCAGAATTCCCTGAATTCCCGGAATTCCGGGAATTCCCGGGGTGGGATTCCACTCCGGGGTGTCTCCCTGATGCGGGAATTCCGGGAATTCCCGGGGGAGGATCCCGGGGGCTGATCCCAGTCCAATCCCGGATCCCGAATCCCAGAATTCCTGGGGTCTGATCCCAAATCCTGAATCCCAGAATTCCCGGAATTCCCGGAATTCCTGTGGGCGGATCCCAGTCCAATCCCGGATCCTGAATCCCGGAATTCCCAGCATTCCTGGAATTCCCGTGGGTGGATCCCAGTCCAATCCCAGATCCCGAATCTCAGAATTCCTGTGGTTGGATCCCAAATCCTGGATCCTGGTCCAATCCCGGATGCCGAATCCTGGAATTCCCGTGGTCAGATCCCAGATCCCAAATCCTGGAATTCCCTGAATTCCTGGCATTCCTGGAATTCCCGTGGATGGATCCCAGTCCAATCCCGGGTCCCACATCCCAGAATTCCCGTGGGCAGATCCCAAATCCCGAATCTCAGAATTCCCATGGGCAGATCCCAGTCCAATCCTGGGTCCCAAATCCCAGAATTCCCGTGGTTGGATCCCAGATCCCAAATCTTGGAATTCCCAGGATTCCTGGCATTCCTGGAACTCCTGGGGCGGGCTGGCGGTGTGGGGCCACTCCCTGATGTCGGAATTCCGGGAATTCCCGTGGGTAGATCCCAGTCCAATCCCAGATCCCAAATCTCGGAATTCCCGTGGGTAGATCCCAAATCCCGAATCCCAGAATTCCCTGAATTCCTGGCATGCCTGAAATTCCTGGAATTCCCAGAATTCCCATGGTCGGATCCCAGGTCCCGAATCCCAGAATTCCCGGAATTCCCGGAATTCCCGTGGGCAGATCCCAGTCCAATCCTGGATCCCAAATCTCAGAATTTCCGTGGTCGGATCCCAAATCCTGAATCCTGGAATTCCCCGAATTCCCGGAATTCCCGGGGCGGGCTCCCACTCCGGGGTGGCTCTCTGATCCTGGAATTCCGTGAATTCCGTGAATTGTCCCTCAGGCCGTACGGGAAGGAGGCGCCGCGGGGCCGTTACTGGGGGATCTACGAGGGGATCATGCGCCGGCACGGGGGGAGACCCCACTGGGCAAAGGTACCCGGAAAACCGGGAATGGGCCGGGAAAACGGGAATTCCAACCGGGAAATGGGGATTCCAACCGGGAAATGGGGATTTTCCAGGAAAAACAGAGAGTTTCTAGGGAAAAATGGGAATTTTTAATGGGATGGAAAAACAACGGGAATGGGCCGGAAAAACGGGAATTCCAACCGGGAAATGGGGATTTTCCAGGAAAAACAGAGAGTTTCTAGGGAAAAATGGGAATTCCAACCGGGAAATGGGAATTTTCCAGGAAAAGCGGAGATTTTCTAGGGAAAAATGGGAATTTTTAGTGGGATGGAAAAACAACGGGAATGGGGTGGGAAAAATAACGGGAATGGGATGGGAAAATGGGAATTCCAACCGGGAAATGGGGATTTTCCAGGAAAAACGGAGATTTTCTAGGGAAAAATGGGAATTTTTAATGGGATGGAAAAACAACGGGAATGGGGCTGGAAAAAATGGGAATTCCAACCGGGAAATGGGGATTTCCCAGGAAAAACAGAGATTTCCTAGGGAAAAATGGGAATTTTTAATGGGATGGAAAAACAACGGGAATGGGGCAAGAAAAACAATGGGAATGGGATGGGAAAAATGGGAATTCCAACTGGGAAATGGGGATTTTCCAGGAAAAACGGAGATTTTCTAGGGAAAAATGGGAATTTTTAATGGGATGGAAAAACAACCGGAATGGGGCAGGAAAAACAACGGGAATGGGATGGGAAAACGGGAATTTTTAATGATGAAGAAATGGGAAAAAAGGGGGAAAAGGGGAGAAAAAAGGGATTTTTAATGGGAAAAATTTGGGGGAAATGGGGGGAAAATGGGGGAAAATGGGATTTTTTATGGAAAAATTGAGGTTTTTAATGGGAAAAATTTGGGGGAAAATGGGGGGAAAATGAGGAAATGGGGGGGAATGGGGAAAAATTGGGATTTTTAATGAGGAAAAAATGGGAAAAATTGGAATTTTAATGGAAAAATTGGGGAAAATTGAGTAAAATTGGGATTTTAATGAAAAAAATAGGGAAATTGGGATTTTTAATGGGAAAACCTGAGATTTTTAATGGAAAAAAATGGGATTTTTAATGGAAAGAAGGGATTTTTAATGGAAAAATCTGGGAAAAAATGGGGGAAAATTGGGGTTTTTAATGGGAAAAACTGGGATTTTTAATGGAAAAATTGGGAAAAAATGGGGGAAAATTGGGGTTTTTAATGGGAAAAACTGGGATTTTTAATGGAAAAAATTGGGAAAAAATGGGGGAAAATTGGGGTTTTTAATGGGAAAAACTGGGATTTTTAATGGAAAAATTTGGGAATAAATGGGGGAAAATTGGGATTTTTAATGGAAAAAAATGGGATTTTTAATGGAAAATTTGGGGAAAAATGAGGAAAAATTGAGATTTTTTTAATAGAAAAAATGGGATTTTTAATGGAAAATTTGGAAAAATGGGGGAAAATTGGGAAAAATTGGATTTTTAATGGAAGACTTTTGGAAAAAATGGGGGAAAATTAGGATTTTTAATGGGAAAAAATGGGATTTTTAATGGGAAAATTGGGATTTTTAATGGGAAAAAAAGGGATTTTTAATGGAAAAATTTGGGAAAAAATGGGGGAAAATTGAGAATTTTTTTTTAATGAAAAAAAGGGATTTTTAATGGAAAATTTGGAAAAATGGGGAAAATTGGGAAAAATCGGATTTTTAATGGAAGACTTTTGGAAAAAATGGGGGAAAATTAGGATTTTTAATGGGAAAAAATGGGATTTTTAATGGGAAAATTGGGATTTTTAGTGGAAAAAAATAGGATTTTTAATGGAAAATTTTGGGAAAAAATGGGGGGAAAATTGGGATTTTTTTTAATGGAAAAAATGGGATTTTTAATGGAAAAATTTGGGGGAAAACGGGGGAAAATTGGGATTTTTTTAATGGAAAAAAATGGGATTTTTAATGGAAAAATTTGGGAATAAATGGGGGAAAATTGGGATTTTTAATGGGAAAAATGGGATTTTAAATGGGAAAATTAGGATTTTTAATGGAAAAAAAAGGGATTTTAATGGAAAAATTTGGGAAAAAATGGGGGAAGTTGGGATTTTTAATGGAAAAAATCCGGGAAAAAATTAGGGAAAATTAGAATTTTTAATGGAAAAAAAGGGATTTTTAATTGAAAAAATTCGGGAAAAAATGGGGGAAAGTTGAGATTTTTTTTTTAATGAAAAAAAGGGATTTTTAATGGAAAATTTGGAAAAAATGGGGAAAATTGGGAAAAAATCAGATTTTTAATGGAAGACTTTGGGAAAAAATGGGGGGAAATTGGGATTTTTAATGGAAAAAAATGGGATTTTTAATGGGAAAATCAGGATTTTTAATGGGAAAAATGGGATTTTTAATGGAAAAATTTGGGAAAAAATGGGGGAAAATTGGGATTTTTTAATGAGGAAAAAAATGGGAAAAAATTGGAATTTTTGGGGTTTTTTTCCACAGGCTCACAGCTGCACGCGGAAGGATTTCCTGGAGATGTTCCCGGAATTCCCGAAATTCTGCGCCCTGAGGGAGAAACTGGACCCGGCCGGGATTTTCCTCAACTCCTACCTGGAAAAAGTCTTTTTTTAGCCCCACATGGAATTCTCCCGGGAATTCCCAATTTTCCCCGGAATTCCCAATTACTTCCACGGGAATTTGGAATTTTCCCGGGAATTTTCAATCATTTTCCCACAAAATCTGAATATTTTCCAAAAAAATCTGAATTATTTTCCCACCAAATCTGAATTTTCCCAGGAATTTTCAATCATTTTCCCACAAAATCTGAATTATTTTCCCAAAAAATTTGAATTATTTTCCCACAAAAACTGAATTTTCCCGGGAATTCTGAATTATTTTCCCGGGAATTTTGAATCATTTTCCCACAAAATTAGAATTTTTTTCATGTAAATTTTGAATCATTTTCCCACAAAATTTGAATTATTTTCCCACAAAATCTGAATTTTCCTGGGAATTCCGAATAATTTCCCCGGGAATTCGGAATTTTCCCAGGAATTTTCAATCATTTCCCCGGGAATTTTGAATAATTTTCCCACAAAATCTGAATTTTCCTGGGAATTCAGAATAATTTTCCCGGGAATTCTGAATTATTTTCCCAGGAATTCAGAATTTTCCCGGGAATTTTCAATTATTTTCCCACAAAATCTGAATTTTCCTGGGAATTCCAAATTATTTTCCCGGGAATTTTGAATTTTCCCACAAAATCGGAATGATTTTCCCCAATGTTCCAAATTTTCCCCAGAATTCCCAATTAGTTCCCCGGGAATTCGGAATTTTCCCAGGAATTTTCAATAATTTTCCTGGGAATTTTGGATCATTTTCCCACAAAATCTGAATTATTTTCCCAAAAAATTGGAATTGTTTTCCCACAAAATCTGAATTTTCCTGGGAATTCTGAATTATTTTCCCGGGAATTTTGAATTTTCCCACAAAATCTGAATTATTGTCCCCAAAATTCTGAATTTTCCCAGAATTCCGAATTATTTTCCCAGGAAATTTGAATTTTCCCACAAAATCTGAATGATTTTCCCCGGAATTCCCAATTTTCCCCTGAATTCCCAATTAGTTCCCTGGGAATTCGGAATTTTCCCGGGAATTTTGAATCATTTTCCCACAAAATCTGAATTATATTCCCAAAAAATCTGAATTATTTTCCCCAAAATTGTGAATTTTCCTGGGAATTCCAAATTATTTTCCTGGGAATTCTGAATAATTTTCCCAGGAATTTTGAATTATTTTCCAAAAAAATTTGAATTATTTTCCCACAAAATCTGAATTTTCCTGGGAATTTTGAATTATTTTCCCGGGAATTTTGAATCATTTTCCCACAAAATCTGAATTATTTTCCCACAAAATCTGAATTTTCCTGGGAATTCTGAATTATTTTCTCAGGAATTTTGAATTTTCCCAGGAATTTTCAATCATTTTCCCACACAATCTGAATTATTTTCCCACAAAATCTGAATTTTCCTGGGAATTTTGAATTTTCCCACAAAATCTGAATTATTTTCCCCAAAATTCCCAATTTTCCCGGGAATTCAGAATAATTTTCCTGAGAATTTGAAATAATTTTCCTGAGAATTTTGAATCATTTTCCTTCCCACAAAATCTAAATCATTTTCCCACAAAATCTGAATTTTCCTGAGAATTCCGAATTATTTTTCTGGGAATTTTGAATTTTCCCACAAAATCTGAATGGTTTTCCCCAAAATTTTGGATTTTCCCGGAAATTCCGAATTATTTTCCTGGGAATTCTGAATAATTTTCCCGGGAATTTGGAATTCTCCCAGGAATTTTGAATAATTTTCCCAAAAAATCTGAATTTTCCTGAGAATTCTGAATTATTTTCCTGGGAATTTTGAATTTTCCCACAAAATCTGAATGATTTTCCCCCAAATTCCCAATTTTCCCCGGAATTCCCAATTAGTTCCCCGGGAATTCGGAATTTTCCCGGAAATTTTCAATAATTTTCCTGGGAATTTTGGATCATTTTCCCACAAAATCGGAATTATTTTCCCACAAAATCTGAATTTTCCTGCAAATTCCGAATTGTTTTCCCAGGAATATTGAATTTTCCCACAAAATTTGAATTATTTCCCCCAAAATTCCCAAATTTCCCAGGAATTCTGAAATATTTTCCCGGGAATTTTGAATCATTTTCCCACAAAATTTGAATTATTTTCCCACAAAAACTGAATTTTCCTGGGAATTCTGAATTATTTTCCCGAGAATTTTGGATGATTTTCCCAAAAAATCTGAATTATTTTTCCAGGAATTCAGAATTTTCCTGGGAATTCTGAATTATTTTCTCAGGAATTTTGAATTTTCCCACAACATTTGAATTATTTCCCTCAAAATTCTGAATTTTTCTTGGGACTTTTCAATTATTTTCCTTGGAATTTTGAATAATTTTCCCGGGAATTTTGAATATTTTTCCTCAAAATTCTGAATTTTCCTGGGAATTTTCATTTTTTTCCCTGGGAATTCTAAATTTTCCCACAAAATCTGAATTATTTTCCTGGGAATTCTGAATTTTCCTGGGAATTTTGAATAATTTTCCCACAAAATTTGAATTATTTCCCCACAAAATTCTGAATTTCCCCAAAAATTCGGAATTATTTTCCCACAAAATCTGGAATTTTTTTTTTCCAGAAATTCTGAATTTTCCCTGGAATCCTGAATTATTTTCCTGGGAATTCCAAATTATTTTCCCGGGAAAAAAAAATCCCCCAAAAAATGAAATAAAATGAAATTAAATAAAATGAAGTAAAATAAAATAAAATAAAATAAAATAGAATAAAATAAAATAAAATAAAATAAAATAAAATAAAATAAAATAAAATAAAATAAAATAAAATAAAATAAAATAAAATAAATTTCAAAAATCCCCTTAAGTGTAAAAAAAATAAATAAAATAAATCACAATAAAATCCCATTGGTGTCATTTTTTTCTCTTTATTTTCTATTTAATTTCCCTTTTTTTATTCCCATTTTCCCCTTTATTTTCTATTTTCTTTTCCCTTTTTTATTCTCATTTTTCCCTTTTTATTTTCATTTTTTTGCCTTTTTTATTTTCATTTTTTTGCCTTTTTTATTCCCATTTTTCCTCAGATTTTTTTCTATTTTATTTTCATTTTTTCCCTTCATTTTCTCTTTGATTTCCCCTTTTTAGTCTCAATTTTCCCCTTTTTTATTTTCATTTTTCCTTTTTTTTATCTCAATTTTCGACTTTTTAAAGTCTCATTTTTCCCCCTTTTTAATTTCATTTTTCCCTTTTTTTTCCTCATTCTTCCTTTTTATTCTCAATTTTCCCTTTTTTATTTCCATTTTTGCTCTGAAATTTTTTCTTTTCATTTTTATTTTCTCTTTATTTCCCCTTTAATTTTCCCTTTTTAGTCTCTTTTTTTTTCTTTCTTATTCTCATTTTCCCCCCTTTTTCTTCTCATTTTCCCTTTTTTATTCCAATTTTCCCCTTTTTTTATTCCCATTTTTTCCTTTATTTTTTATTTAATTTTCCCTTTCCCCCTTTTTGACCTTCCATTAATTCCATTTTTTTCCATTTATTTTCTATTGAATTTCCCCTTTTTATTCTCATTTTCTCCACCCCATCCCCTCCATTATATTCTCATTTTTTCCCTTTTTTATTCTCATTTTTTCCCATCCCATCCCCTCCATTAATTGATTTTTTCCTTTATTTTTTCCCCATTAATTGGATTTTTCTCTTTATTTCCCCCCCATTAATTGGATTTTTCCCTTTTTAAAATTCTCTTTATTTTCCCTTTTCCCCTCCATTAATTTCATTTTTCCATTTATTTTCTATTGAATTTTCCCATTCCATCCCCTCCATTAATTGGATTTTTTCCATTTATTTTCTATTGAATTTCGCCTTTTTATTCTCATTTTTCTGCCGTCAGCCCCTCCATTAATTCCATTTTTTCCTTTATTTTCTATTGAATTTTCCCTTTTTTTCCCATCCCACCGCCCCATTAATTGGATTTTTTCCTTTATTTTCTATTGAATTTTCCCATCCCATCCCCTCCATTAATTCCATTTTTCTCTTTATTTTCTATTGAATTTCCCCTTTTTATTCTCATTTTTCCCATCCCATCCCCCCATTAATTGGATTTTTCCCTTTTTTTATTCCCTTTTTTCCCCCCCATTAATTGGATTTTCCCCTTCCCATCCCCCCCATTAATTCCATTTTTTCCTTTATTTTCTATTGAATTTTCCCTTTTTTATTCCCTTTTTTCCATCCCATCCCCCCATTAATTGGATTTTTCCCCTCCATTAATCAGATTTTTCCCCTCCATTAATAATTGGATTTTTCCCCTCCATTAATTGGATTTTTCCCCCCCATTAATTCCATTTTTCCTCTTTATTTTCCCCCCATTAATTGGATTTTTCCCTTTATTTCCCCCCCATTAATTGAATTTTTCCCTTTTTTTAATCCCTTTATTTTCCCTTCCCCCCTCCATTAATTTCATTTTTTCTCTTTATTTTCTATTGAATTTCCCTTTTTATTCTCATTTTTTCCCATCCCTTCATTAATTCCCTTTTTTCCGTTATTTTCCCTCCATTAATTGGATTTTTCTCTTTATTTTCTATTGAATTTTCCCTTCCCATCTCCTCCATTAATTCCATTTTTTTCCTTTATTTTCTATTCAATTTTCCTTTTTTTATTCCCTTTATTTTCCCATCCCATCCCTCCATTAATTGGATTTTTTCCCTTTTTTAATTCCCTTTTTTCCCTCCATTAATTGGATTTTCCCATCCCATCCCCCCATTAATTGGATTTTTTCCATTTATTTTCTATTGAATTTCCCTTTTTATTCTCATTTTTCTGCCTTCATCCCTCCCATTATATTCTCATTTTTTCCCTTTTCTTATTCTCATTTTTCCCATCCCATCCCCCCATTAATTCCATTTTTCCCTTTATTTTCCCCTCCATTAATTCCATTTTTCCATTATTTTCTATTGAATTTCCCCTTTTTTATTCCCTTTTTTTCCCATCCCATCCCCCCATTAATTGAATTTTTTCCCTTTTTTTATTCCCTTTTTTCCCCTCCATTAATTTTATTTTTTCTCTTTATTTTCTGTTTCATTTTCCCATCCCCTCCCCTCCATTAATTCCATTTTTTCTATTTATTTTCTATTCAATTTCCCCTTTTTATTCCCTTTATTTTCCCATCCCATCCCCTCCATT